TGCCTTTATTCTGTCTGAGAGAAGGAAACAATGGAAACCAGTGGAACTTGAGAGAAACTTAAATAAACTTCCAGAGTTTGGCGCACCACGATCCGTCTCTGTCTGCTTCATCCCTGACAGTCTTTTATACCATGGTTTCACTAAGGATCCTGCTCCAAGGGACTCAAACCCTAAGACTGTGTCTCCAAGGGACTTAAACCCTGAGACTGCTCCAAGGGACATAAACCCTGAGACTGCTCCAAGGGACATAAACCCTGAGACTGCTCCAAGGGACTTAAACCCTGAGACTGCTCCAAGGGACATAAACCCTGAGACTGCTCCAAGGGACTCAAACCCTGAGACTGCTCCAAGGGACTCAAACCCTAAGACTGTGTGTCTCCAAGGGACTTAAACCCTGAGACTGCTCCAAGGGACATAAACCCTGAGACTGCTCCAAGGGACTTTAACCCTGAGACTGCTCCAAGGGACTTAAACCCTGAGACTGCTCCAAGGGACTCAAACCCTGAGACTGTGTGTCTCCAAGGGACTTAAACCCTGAGACTGCTCCAAGGGACATAAACCCTGAGACTATTTCTTTCAATACAATTTAGAGAGTTTGACAGACCCCAAAAACAGACCAAAATTTAGCTAATATCCAATTATGCAGACTTTACATATTAGAAAAGGTGTCTGCTTACCTTAATTCTTTGTCCGGACTGTTCAAGAGGTCTGCCAACTTATTTTCCGCGTCGGAATATTCAATTTAAAAAACAAAAGTGACAGAAGCGACAAGAAGCATCCAGGAACAGCTCTCCCAGCCTGCTGGAATCTCCGTTCCCAGACACAGCATGCCGGTCTCTCACGCCGAGGAAAAGAAACAAAGCAAACTCCCTCAAAACAATCCAGAGAATGGCGCACACTGAGCCGCGCATTCTCCACCAAATCTGTCAGGGATGAAGCAGACAGAGACGGATCGTGGTGCGCCAAACTCTGGAAGTTTTTTTAAGTTTCTCTCAAGTTCCAGTGGTTTCAATTGTTTCTTTCTCTCAGACAGAATGGAGTCAGTACACAGTTTATATAGTCATTGTCACGTCACACATGGAAAGACGTACGTGTCACACAGAGACAGTCACATCATAGTCAAAATAATCAGAGTCCTTGTACAGTCCTGCACGTAGGCCATATTGCTATCTAATACTAACACTGCGTTATTATGAAAATAAGTTTAATTATATTGCAGTTACTACCTAAATACTACGTTACCGGCGGCACTGGCCTCGGGAAATACAAATGTCCCCATTTGTGCTGAAATGGGGACATTTCATGTGAAGGGGGGGATATTGTAAGCGTGTGCTAAAGTGCGCATGCGCCAGTGGCTGTGTTAAATTTGAATGTTTTTGAACTGGCCGAGGAGAGAGGAGAGTAACGGTCGTGTTGTGCTGTTCACGAATAAACGGAGACTGGTTATCATATTGTAACCCCTGTGTCATAAAATAATATATAATCTAAGTAGAACAAACAAGAATCTACAAAATCTTAGAATATATAGTTATAACACAGTAAGTACTAAGTAATAAACGTGTAATAAGAAAATAATAGTAATGTAATAAAGTTGTATTAGGCTAGTAGTCAGAAGTCTAGATTTGGCTCAAGGAGGGAGTGGCAGGAGACTGAATAAGTTTGGTTGTTACCATGTATTAACAGAGGACAAAATTGACAAACAATACAGTGACACACAAAACATATACCCAAAAATCAGTGAATGGCCATTCAATGGTAACACGTGTTTCGAATCAATATTCATTCAGCACTGCACAAGTACAATGTATAGAAACGGTTTTCACAGTATTCACAAAAGCAACCAGTGATAGACTTCAACAAAACAGTTTCTCAGCCCGCTGCACAGTTCATCAATAACCCACTCTGGGTTTGACCAGTTGGACAGAGGGAGGCGGTGCACAAGAGTTTGTGAGATGTGGATGAGTGGATTGCAAAAGTTCCGTGCAAAGTGGGGAGAGAGTTTGTGGGCTGCAAGGAGCCCCCTACCGGCCAGCAGGGGAGATGCGAACATGCGACTCCAGATCCAGTGGGCTCTGTAGGCTCTAGGCCTGGTCCTTCAGCTCGCCATCAGGGTCAAAACCTGGCCTGTAGAACAGGACCAAAGCTCAAATAAATCAAAAGCTAACTAAATAGTAAAGCTCCAGTGTGCACACAATTCTACAATACAGCACAGGTTGTACTATAATCCATCATTATCAAAGGGTTAAAAACCATATCAGTACTAGTATATAAATATTCACAGTGTATATAAACATAATGTACTAGCTGTAGTCATTAAACAGTATAAATCAAACATTCAATGAACATTCAATAAACAGTCAATAAGTTAAACAATGAATGCAATATAATTAAATAACATTCATAAGTAAAAGCAAAGCATTACTGATGGACAGAACAGGCATAAAAGCTGCTTGCATAAAGCACATGGTAACCACTCCACTAATACAAAATGGATGTGGCTAGAAATGGCTATGCTACAGTGTGAAATAAGCTACACTCACCAATTCCTTGTATTCCTCCTCACAAGCGAGCTGATCACTATTCTTTGGCAAATAGAAGGCTCCTAAATGAGGCAAGTTTGTACAATAACCGTCAAACAAAACACAAAGGCATCAAACAGTAAAGTGAGCACACTACACACCTGCAGCCACTCCCTACACAGCTTCCCCAAGCCCCGGCGATCCAAGATGGCGCCCTATTCAAATGAATGGTTGTGCTCAGTGGCGCTTTGTGACGGCATGGGGGCTGAAAGATTAGCGGAAGTTGCCTGAAACTCGCAAAGATCTATGGGAAACTCGCCTGTATTTGGGCATCGTCTGGTCCTCCCGGTTCTGCGCAGTGGATGATCTCCCATAATGCGTTGCGCCAAACACGCGTGTGTGGGTCTCACACCGGGTCTCACGCACGTGCACAGAGGGGCTCGGCCGCGCTCTGACCAATCAGAGCAGTTCATCAGAGCGGGAGTTAGAGCGAGAGCCAGAGAAGCAGAGTTTGTGGCACTAAAGTGCGGATTTAAACAAAACCGAAGGATTTAAGAAGAAAAAAAGTTCAGGATGACAAGGGACACTAAAATCCCCACAAAATCCGATCTTTATTAAAGCCGTAAGTAAGTAAGTAAGCTTTATTTATATACCGCCTTTCACAGACCAGAGTCACAAAGCGGTTTACAATTGTTTTTTTTTTTTTTTTTGGGCACTTGTCCTCTCACTCCACACAGAGATGGGAGCGGGGTCGCCGAACAGGAGGCGCATGCCAGAACTATTGTACATATTTTTAGTGGTAGGGGAAACCGGAGTACCCGGAGGAAACCTACGCAGACACAGGGAGAACATGCAAACTCCACTCAGAAAGGCCCTGGTCCGGCCGGGATTCGAACCCAGGACCTTCTTGCTGAGAGGCGAGAGTGCTATCCACTCAGCCACCGTGCCGTAGGTTCTCTGTCAGCTGAGGTTGAGCTGTTTTAATATGCATTGAGTTCTATGGGAAAAATTTCTGGGTAGCCCACGTGAATTTAGTCTGGTTCAGTCTGCAGTACCGCGAGAATCCCCTGAGCACGTGAGTTATTCAGCTACAAGCTAGTAATACCCTATCCAGTTAATATAATACATCCATGAGCTTCCCCCACAGCACTTCCTGAACCTGCTTTCCTCTAACCAATAAAACCATGCATTGGCTAGAAGGGATCTGATTGGCTAATGGGTGGAGCAAGCAGTAGGCCAAGCAGTGGTATATTCAAAGGGTAAAAACACTAGCAGGATTTGTCACCTGGGTTACACCATTCTCCAAAGATTCTTCTGCCTCTGCTTCCTACTCCAGCTTTCCCGTTACAACTGTGTTTGAAGGTGTGTATTTCGTTAATAACAGTGGATTGTGCATGGAAGAGACCGGACGACGATAGTTTGTAACTTTGGGAACACAGCAGCCTTCTGCTGTCTCCTCCATGAACGTTTGACCAAGTAAATAGAAAAAACAACGTTGGTCTTGCCGGTTTTTCAAGCAGTTGCCTCAATTCCCTAAACTCTGAGCTGGCACTGGTAGTTGGTGTGCATGTGTTAGAGTAGTGCATTGAACTAATGGACTGAGTAACTTCGAGCCCAGGGTCCCTCAGACCTGCCAGACATTAGGTCTGGCATGCGCCTCCTGTTTGGCAACCTCGCTCCCATCTCTGTGTTGAGTGAGAGACAATTGTAAAGCGCTTTGTGGCTCTGGTCTTTGAAAGGCACTTTATAAATAAAGATTACTTACTTACATCTGCTCTCACCTCAATGAAAGTGTGCGTGGGGCGCTCTCTCTCTAATCCCTTTAACTCCTTGCGAAGATGTGGATCCAGCACATGCTCTACAAACTGATTGCGGAGAGGATTGGGAGCATCAGGCATAGACTGTGGGGATCTTCACGCAACATAACGCAAATGAAAATTCCAGTAGCAATCCCCCATGGGTTCGAGCCCACCATGAGACCTTCTCCACCAACTCCCACTGATGTCTGCTGTCGTCCTGTGGACTCCTGCAGGTGAGGATCGGTGAGGGGCTGGTGCTATGTGACTTGGGTGGCATCACTGATTGCCACCCCCCCTACTTTGACAGTTTTATCAAAGTTCAAAAACACAAGAAAAAGATTGATCAACACGTGTGCCCATGGCGCCCTCTGCTGGCCAAAAGGAGGAGCAGTGTAACCGAGAAGGTCTAGATAGTGTTGTAAAATGTATTTAGCTCTGAGAGCACACACGAGCTGCAGCCGTACCGGCTCTGGCTTTATTTCTCACATTCAAATCATAACAGCATAACCAAAGGTGGCCACTTAACTGCCTGATGTAAAATCCTAAACAGTATGTTACATATGTCCCCCCCTTCATAAGAAACGTCCTCGGTTCATAAAATAACTCAGAACCTGCCTCAAACCAGGGCCATAACAAACAAAAGCAAAAAAACACACAACAAAGAACAATGACTCTGCCCAACTCAAACTACAAAGTCCTTGAGGTGTGAAGGGGCTTTAACAAGACGTCCCGACCGAGACTGCTGCGGCTGGGCCAGCGCTGGCTCCAAACTTGCCTCCCCTCCATGCAAGAAAGGGTCCGATGCGACAACCCGACTAGCAGGGGGCCGAGCAGGGAGCGGCAGAGTGTATGGTTTGAGTCTGTCATGATGAACCACCTGACTCCGCTCCTGACTATCCAGCGGATTAATGATGTCATAGGTCAGTGCCGGTTCACTTCCTGACGAGAATACCTGCACCACCTGGTACGGGCCCCTCCAATGCGGCGCTAATTTAGTGCGGCTCTCCGTCGGATTGTTCAGCCACACCAACGCTCCAACACCGTACGGCCGATGACACACTGTCTGGTCATGGTAAAGTTTTTGTCTCTCAGAGGCCTCCAATGCATGACACCAAATGCAAACTCCAACCTTTTAACTAACATATCTCCATAGTCAGACACAGATCCCGCCCCCACAGAGTTGAACACAGGGTTAGATACAAGAACATCTGCTGGGACCCGGGCCTCGCGGCAATGCATCAGATAAAAGGGAGAAAACTTAGTGCTAGCATGGGGTGAAGTGTTATACGCAAAAGCAACCTGCTTTGTAAATCCATCCCATTCACCTCCTTGAGAGAGTAACATCTTAGCAAGTCAATCAATGTCCTGTTATGGCGCTCCACCATGCCATCCGACTTTGGGTTGTACGCAGTCGTGGGAGTCTTCTTAATACACAGTAGTTTACACAGAGTCTGGATGACCTCAGCCTCAAACTGGCGACCCTGGTCAGTGTGAAGCATCTCAGGAACCCCATGTACTAACACATAGTCATTAAACAAACAGGTAGCAACAGTGTTAGCTGTCTGATTAGGCAAAGCATACAGATCCAGGGCTGGACTGGCCATCGGGCGTACCGGGCAATGCCCGAAGGGCCGATGCCCACATTTGGGCCGGCCTGTCTGCCTCATACAAAAAACATGTTTGTGAAAAGTGTAAATCCGTTGAGAATTGTTCGAGGGGAGCGCGCGTGTCCGCGGGGCACCTGCTGTATGTACTCGAACGGGATTCCACCACCTCAGCGGCCGCAGTGTTCCCGGGCTGCTGCGGACGCTTTGTAATGAGCGGTTCCCGCATCCAGCGGCTCTGAGCGGGACGCGGGAACCGCTCATAACACAACACGGTGAGCGCGTAGCAGCAACGTGACCATATACCCAAGACCATAAACGCGCACAGGACCATGCGTGTCTTAGCGTAGTCTGTGGACCCAATAAATACACCGCTGCAGTAAATAGTCCGCGTCTCCCCTCTCCTCTCGAAGCGCGACTAAATTAAAGCTTGGGTACCTAAATTTTCCATTGCATCAAAAGTTCATGTTTGAGCCCAAAAGTAAAATGTTGTGAACAAATCAAACAGATTTAGTGACAGCTAACAGCTGACATTATGCATTTCAGACTTTTTTTGACCAATTCTCATGTCTGTGTCCACCTCCCTCACTCTGAGACATGTTTATTACTCTCTTGTAATGTAGACTATTGAGTTTTATTTTATTGTTGAAACTAGAGACATCCTGATCCTCTACAGTATTTGCTTCCACATACTGTATAAACCAGGGGTCGTCAACCTGCGGCTCTTTGTAGCTCCTCCAGTGGCTCCTGGAGCCTTTTAAAAAATGTCTGAAAATGGAGGGCTATATTTTATTTCTAGTTTGAATGTGGTTTCTGTAGGAGGAAAAACATTCTTGATGTTTTTAAATGCTGTGCATAAGTATTATTCAATTTCAAAATTTCTGTCTACGTAGTGCGTCATATCCGGTGACGAGGCCCCGTGCCAGGCGTCGGCTGTTTTAAACAAACGTGTGTGCATCATAGACTGTGTGTGCGCACGGATCCCAAAGATAAAGAGAGAAGGAGTCGATAAGACTGGACTAAGAATCAGAATGAACTTTTGCTTTCAGTCAATGAGGAAGGACTGCCTCATGTTTGTAACGAGAAGTTTTGTTGCAACACGAGGAACAATGAAGCTTTAAACACTGTTCACTGAAGGATTCATTCATCGCAAATTCAAAGCACCTATTTTCAGACTTCAAATACCTTCGCAAAGACGGTAAAATAAAAGGCCATTAAGGACATTCAGCTCCAGCAAACTTCAGCTTGTGATCGATATGAACAGGCTGTGATGCAGGTGAACTCGGAGCCAAAATGCAGATTTATTTACTCTATTTGTACAATTGCATGAAGGCAAAAAAATGGAAGTTAAAGTTAAAGCAGAGTCGTCACATGGTGCGTCATTCTCTCCAGGACACATCATGAATCATGAATGCTTATATTGTGTATTTGTAGCTAATATAGCTAATACAGCCGCAGCCTGTGTTACCTTCATATAAGCCTTTTACAAGTTGTTTTACATGTTTTTTGTTTTTTTGTCAAATATGGTTCTTTGAACCTTTTGAGTTGCCAACCCCTGGTATAAACAAACTTGTATAAAATGTGAAAAAACATGCCTGGGCCGCCAAGAAGGCAAAAATGCCCGGGCCGTTTTTTTGTCCCAGTCCAGCCCTGTACAGATCAACATACTTTGTAAAGTAGTCCTCTACAACTAAAACATACCTATTTCCCCGAGAGGTTACAGGTAGCTCTAAAATGTCAGCCGCCACACGCTGCAGAGGACGACACACCTGCATAACCCCCATGGGCGCCCTAGGCTTAGGAATAGGCGACCTGCGAGTCTGACAAGCCCTACACTGCTCACACCACTGTCTTATGTCTCTAAGCATAAAAGGCCAGTAGCAAGACTGCCTCGCCTTCTCCCAGACCCGATCCACAGAGACGTGCGCAGCAGCCGGCCCCCCGTGAAGATGCTGGAGTAGATCAGGGACCAGAGAGGACGGGATGACAACCTGCAACCGCTCCAGGCCGGAGACTGTGGGGCTATCTGTCCTACACAGCAGTCCCTCATTGATAGAGAAGCGACCAAATTCAGCCCACAATTTCCGGAGACAGAGAGAAGACCCCTTAACTTCCCAACGAGGTGGCCTATCTACTCCCCTCTCTAACCACCCGAGCACTACCCTGATGTCTGGGTCATCCTGCTGCAGGGACCGCAACCTGGCCTCATCACAGCAGAGAGAGTACACTGGAGAGGAGGGTAACGACTCCCTAGCCTGGTCATGACTATTCGCCCCCCCAACATCAATCACATTCACACAGTCAATGGCAGGAGCTGTGGCCTCAGCAGGGCGGCGGGACAACGCATCCGCATTCAAATGCCGTGATCCGTCCTTGTGGATGATGGCCCAATTAAAGGGATCCAACTCCAGGATCCACCGCCCCCGTTTACCAGTAGGGTCATTGTCAATGGACATGCCACGAAGGCCTAATAGAGGACGATGGTCAGTAACAATAGTGAATGCTGACAGCCCCACATAATGTTTAAACTCGTGCACAGCCCAGACAACCGCCCACAGTTCACGGTCAAAGGTGGACCAGCGTTTCTGGGTGTGAGTGAGGGCTTGACTGGCGTAGGCCACTACATGTTCCAAACCGTCATTCTCCTGCGCCAGTACCGCCCCAACAGCGTCCTTTGATGCATTGGTGTAAACTGTAAAGGGGCGAGAAAAGTCTGGTGACACCACTACAGGGGAGGAGGTCAGACGATGTTTCAAAAAGGTGAATGCTGCCTCACACTCTGACGTCCATTTAAAAGGGACATTTTTACTGGCCAGATGATTGAGTGGAGCCGCATGCTGGGAAAAGTTCTGCACAAAACGTCTATAATAGGAGCACAGGCCCACAAAAGCACGGACCTCAGCAGCAGAGGTCGGTGTCGGCCATGACCTCACTTTATCAGTGTTCCGAGGCTCCGGGCGGAGACCATCTCTAGACACCACATGTCCCAAAAACACTACATGGTCCTTTGCAAAATGACATTTGCTGCTGTTCAATCTCAGTCCGGCCGAATCTATCCTTGTCAGCACCTCCCCCAAATGGCCAAGATGGTCCTCAAATGTTCGACTGAAAATCAAAATGTCGTCCAGATATACGAGGCAGGTGTGCCAGGGGAGACCACGCAGGACTAGCTCCATCATACGCTGGAAGGTGGCAGGCGAATTGGACAGGCCCATTGGCATGGCCCGCCACTGGTATATTCCCCTACCGGTCGTGAAGGCGGTCTTTTCACGATCCTCCTCGGCAACTTCCACCTCCCAGTATCCGTTCGAAAAGTCCAATGTGCTGAACCACATTGACCTAGCCAGCGCATCCAAGCTGTCGTCCACACGCGGCAGCGGGTGCGAATCTTTAATTGTAACCGCATTAAGACGGCGGTAATCGATACAGAACCTCCACTGACCCCCTTTTTTCTTGACGAGCACAACGGGTGAGGCCCAGGGACTGAAGCTCTCCTCCACCAGGCCATCTGCCAGTAGCTGACCCACCTGACGCTCAATCTCTGCCCTTTTCTCAGGAGACGTCCGATATGCCCGCTGCTTAATTGGGGGGTTATCACCAGTGCGAATGTGGTGTTGGATTAAAGAGCACTTCCCAGTGTTCCCATCTGGGGTACTAAACACGTTACTAAAACGACTCAAAAGCTCCTGTAATTCAGCCCTCTGTCGCTCGTTGACTGGAGAGTCTGTGACCATACACGGGACAGAAGATTTATGTGAAGTGGGCACCACCGATGGTGCACCAACCTCGTGAATAGGATAAAATTCCCCTATGTGCAGCCCTTGCTTGAGCTCCTCTGCTTTCCCAGAGGGATTGAGAACACGCGCAACAGTAACCCCATTCTTCACATTAGCCACGGTATGAGCTACAACTAAACCAGCCGAATCTGGGACATTTGGTTCCAAGTAGCCTTCAAAGTCAGTTACTGGCCTGTTAGCACCACCCGGTGGACGCACATGAACTGGCACCAAAGCCTCACTTAAGGGAGGTATAATCACACCATCGGCCAGAGATACATTGCAGCACTCAGGGACAAGCTGAGCCTGGTAAAGCAAGGGGAGGCACGTATCACCGATCTTCAAAAACCCCCGCCCCAGGTCGAGCAACGCCCTGTTCACTGCCAGAAAGTCCAACCCCAATAGGACCGCCTGAGTAGACTCCCTCAGCACATGAAAAGTGTGCCGCCAAGAGGCCCGGCCCAAGTGAAGAGACACGTCTATAGTGCCCAGTGTGTCTAGTGTCTGTCCATTTACTGCCCGTGAGCCAATAAAGTCCTTCTTCAATGGCCGTCCGCGCAGTGTGGGAACCGCCATACGGAAATCGGAACTAATTAAAGACACAGAAGCCCCAGAAGGGCCCAATTGGGCCCTCCCGAGGAAAAGCCGGTGTTTGGGCCATAACACCAGCTACTGGAAGTTTCCCTGATGCTCGGGATCCCTGGGAGAACTCTGCTGCTGGAAATGAACACCACGCCTCCAGGATCCTTCCTCACGACGGGCACGCCATCCGGGGCTGGGACTCCTGCTTTGTGGTGGACGGAACTCGGGAGACTGGCCTGTACGTTGTGGGGTACGCGCAGCGAGATTACCAGGGGGGGAAACAGCTCCGTGCTCGGGCGAGCGACCCTGACGTCTCTGCATTGCCCACCTTCCTTGACAGCCAGGCTCACCGCAGGTGCACTCACAACGTCCCCCAAAACCAGACCGGCGCCCCACGAACTGCCTCTGGCCCATATCACTGTTCCTGAGTCTCTGGTTTTCTTCATAAACACTCTTCATTTCCATCCTCATAGCATGCATCTCCTGGCTTAATTGATCCACAGCCTTATATAAACTGTCATTGGACGTAACAGCCTGAACCACAGCTCTGGACTCAGCAACATGGGGATTGAACGGATAGTTACTCACACAGTCCCTCTGTAGCGCCTCTCTAGCGTTTTCGCATCTTTAGGCGCCTCTTCTAAATCAGTGGCGCCTTGCTCCAAACACTTGCTCTTCAACGCTGGATCCAGACTTGCGAGGAAGCGCCGAAACTTCTCCTCTTTGCGCGCCACGACCCCATTGTCCGGGAAAGCCTCCGCCACCAGGCGACTCACATCCGCTGCGTAGACTTCCAAGCTCTCGCCCGCAGCACGGGGACGAGCCGAGAGGGTGGCTCTGAAGCGGTCCATAAACTGTCTCTGTCCAAATGCGCCAGCGAGCTTCTCTTTCACGGCAGAATAATCATGCTTCACTCTATCCGGAAGGCTGTCCCACAGGAGAAACGCTGACTTGCATAAACGAGTGGGCAAGATAATAATAATAATAATAATAATGCATCGGTTTTATATAGCGCTTTTCTGGACACTCAAAGACGCTTCACATGTGTCATTATTCATTCACTCCATACACGGTGGTGATAAACTACTGCTGTAGCCACAGCTGCCCTGGGGCACACTGACAGAAGCGAGGCAACCAGTATGCGCCATCGGCCCCTCCGACCACCACCAACCATTCACACACACACCAGACTCATTCTAGGCAATGGGGGTGAAGTGTCTTGCCTAAGGACACAACGGCAGTTTGGCACTTTACAGCCGCAGCCGCCCCACTGTGGCTGGTGTTCCCAGAGGTTAAGTGTCTTGCCAAGGACACAACGAACAAGTTCTTCATCACAGTCCGAACCGGTGCCCACAGTAGCCTGGATGGCCACCTCCAGCTGTCTCACCCAGCCGAGAAAACTTTGGCTACCATCTCCAGCAAAGAGCGGAGGCAGATCCACTCTCACGTTCCTCACGGGAAAACGCTCCTCGGCCTCATACTTTGGCTTGAAAGGACTTTCTTCTCCATTCCACATGTTGACAGGTAACTCACGCTAAGCACACAACTGCCTAGCTAAACTTCACACAACTAGCTAACTTGTTAACTGCAAAATAAACGCTGATTCAGCAACAGAAAAACATTTCTGGATGGGCAAACAAAACAAAAAAAAGAGAACCACCGCTGCCACCAATGTAACCGAGAAGGTCTAGATAGTGTTGTAAAATGTATTTAGCTCTGAGAGCACACACGACAGACGCTTTTCCAACTGCAGCCGTACCGGCTCTGGCTTTATTTCTCACATTCAAATCATAACAGCATAACCGATAACTGATTTAAAATCCTAAACAGTATGTTACAGCAGGATAGCTGAACTGCTTCTTTGAGCTCCATCAGACCTTGAGTTGAATCAATCAGATCGTCTTCGTGAGCGTCTCCCAAACGTTTGTACCATGAACCAACTCTGAACTCTATCATTTGTAATAAAGGGACATACAAATAAACATAACCTACACAAAACCACGTGTCACTTAAATCATGTTTGAAATCACTCTTTAAAAACACACATTTTACATCATGAAGCATCAGAGTATGTCCTGCTGATCCTGCTGAGAACCTGCTGAACATCTACACATCACTGGAGAAGCAGTAGCTGAAGCTTTCTGTAACCGCAAGAGTCAATGGTAAACCTTTGAAAATTAGGTTAAATTCATTTAAGAAATATGGGGATTGTTGTTGCTAGGCAACTGGCAGTGGGAGGGGCTTACCTGAACACAACCACACGGTGACCAGTGGGAGTGGAAACACACAAAAAACGAGAGAGGGCAAGCACGATTTGCGACTCACGGCAACTTCCGGTGACTCGCGTGACTCAGGCGCTCTGAGTCGCGGCTCACGCTCAGCATTCAGGGGTCGTGGCTCACGGTTATCAATTTAACTTTTTAGGGGTATCTGTGGATTATCAATGACACATTGTGGATCTGGAGGCATATATTTACAAGTAACCAGTATGTTACACACTCTTCATCATCTGGTATGTGTTTATATAGCTCTCCATGTTCGTTAACCACTGACTCAGGCGCTGTGAGCCGCGACTCAGCAGCCAGAAGTCGTGGCTCACGGTTATCAATTTAGCTTTTTAGGGGTATCTGTTGATTATCAATGACACATTGTGGATCTGGAGGCATATATTTACAAGTAACCAGTATGTTACACACTCTTCATCATCTGGTATGTGTTTATATAGCTCTCCATGTTCGTTAACCACTGACTCAGGCGCTGTGAGTCGCGACTCAGCAGTCAGAAGTCGAGGCTCACAGTTAAAAATACCACAAATCTTTGCTTTTTAGGGGTTTCTGGGAATTTCTATTGAGACAATATGGATCTGGAGGCATAGTTTACATGTAATCAGTATGTTACACACTCTTCATCAGCTGGTATTTGTTTGTATAGATCTCTATGAACTGTTCACCACTGACTCACAGCTCCTGAGTCGCGGCTCAGGAGCTGTGAGTCGCGGCTTAGCAGTCAGAAGTCATAGCTCACGGTTAAAAATACCACAAATCTGTGCTTTTTAGGGGTATCTGGGAATTATTAGGGGCAACAGTGACTCAATTGGCAGAGCTTTGGTCTTTGGACCTAATGATCGTGGGGTCGTGCCCCCACAACCACCTGCTCCCACTGAAGCAAGACGCCCCATCGTGGTATCTTATATACAGTCATGGGACCTCATGAATGAGTATGAGCACAAGTATGTGGAAACGGCACAAGTATGTGGAAACGGCACAATACTAATATTGGTATTGGTGCATCCTTAGTAAAATAAACAGACTCAGTATTAGCAGCGCAGGTTTACAGTCATAGTGCAAGTGGTTGATTAAGTGATACAGGCCTAAATACAGATTATTACATGTATTTGCAGGGCTTATTTCATATTCTAATGAAAAAGACTTTTTAGGAGTATTTATGAATTATTAATGTATCTGGATGAACATTTTCCATGTCCTCAGTGCCTCATACATACTTTACCAGCTGATATGTGTTTGTATTACTCTATTGTTAACAAGTGACTTACGAGACATAAGTCAGGACTCGTCTGCTGACACCAGGGGGCGCTGTCTAATCTCATGTTGAATCATGCACGACGTTGGACATCTCGCTTGCAATTTAAATTTCACCAAAATATTGAGGTAGGTTATTTTGTTTCGTTTTTTGGAATCTGTCTTTTAATCATTTTAACATTTTAAAGGGCATGACATTTAAACAGGAAAAAAAAAAAAAACTTGTGTAAAATTCCTTGGTTGTAATTCTGTGGGCTTCAAAGAATACACAAAACTTGCAGATACAGAGCAGAGTGTATACTCCATAGGACAAAAGATGAGGCAAGGTGTATAACACAGGTTTGGTCACATAAGAAATAAATAACTAAAAAAACACTGAGACATTATTATTTGTTATTTATTAATAATGCTAAAGGCATTTGAAAAAATACATACAATACACAAACAAACACAATTATAAAAGCCACTTGTACCAATTTGTCCTTATAGTAATATAATGTGGATGACAAAGTGAGCCAAGAACCCAGAGTAGAGATTTCTTTGTCTTTGAACAAACACAAGCATCAGGGCATTTCATTTCAGGGCATTTTAATTCTAAAAAAAATGATTATTGTTAACTTTAGAGGATAGTGTGCTGAGGTGGACTTACTATTGTAAATAGAGAATTAAAGAGAAAGACCCTAATGACATAATTTTATATGATCATGTTACCGAACCCAGATGTTCAAAATACAGAATTCAAGTAACTTCTGTTGTGGTGAAATGTTTGAAGATGCTTATTTGAGCCTTTGGTGGCCCAGTGGCTGTATGACTGCTGCATGGCACCTGTACTTTCCCTCATAACTGCCGTGATCATCCTGAATCAAATGTTTTAGGGTTTCCAAAAAGTGTAGCTCCCTTATACCCTTTAAACATCTGATCCTGGAGCATTATACAGGATACAAATGCAGTGGAAATACAGGTGTCATGCTGCAGCCATCAAGACATGTTTTTCTCCTTAATGCCTCTTTTCTCTCATTTCTTTTCTATGCAAAAATTAAGTGTAGTTAACCGGTTATTCTTGAATTACAGAACTACTGAGACGACACATCAAGATGAGCCACACACAGAAGAGAAGGAAAACAAACTTTATAAAAAAATGCACAACGTAATTCACTTTAATAGACCAATTATAAAGAATAAAGATTTGGTTTAGGTTTGATACATTTCAGTTTTGCACTTGGCTGTAGCTAATACATTTGCACACATTGCACTATAACATGAACATTTGTTTCCACATGAGCTGTTACTTTGTCTCCCAATACAGGAACATATACAGCTCAGTCATGAATAGCAGCAGAGTGGTGCCGCACATCACTGGAAGGACATGTTGAGCTACGTGCTAATGTATAGAATAAGCCCACACCTGTTCAAAAAGGTGTTGCTGCGGGTTCGAAGTAGTCATTCTGCGGCCTGCAGGACAGAGGCGTGTCGTGAAGTAGGCGTGTAAACTATGCCTCCAGATCCATATAGTCTCATTAGAAATTCCCAGATACCCCTAAAAAGCAAAAATATGCTGTATTTTAACTGTGAGCCACGACTCACAGCTCCTGAGCCGCGACTCACAGCTCCTGAGCCGCGACTCACAGCTCCTGAGCCGCGACTCACAGCTCCTGAGTCAGTGGTTAACGAACATGGAGAGCTATATAAACACATACCAGATGATGAAGAGTGTGTAACATACTGGTTACTTGTAAATATATGCCTCCAGATCCACAATGTGTCATTGATAATCAACAGATACCCCTAAAAAGCTAAATTGATAACCGTGAGCCACGACTTCTGACTGCTGAGTCGCGGCTCACAGCGCCTGAGTCACGCGAGTCACCGGAAGTTGCCGTGAGTCGCAAATAGTGCTTGCCCTTTCTGCAAAAAACTCTGGTGGTAGCATTTACAGTGCAGCCCAAAAGTACTTTTGGTGAATGCAGACAAAAATATTCAAAAGGTGAAACATCAAAAAGACGTCATTTTGTGTCACATTGAATTTTTTGTGAATTAAAAGCAAAGACAACAATATTCAAACATGCTTTTTCATGGTTAAACATTTCAAATGGTAAAATACAAAAAACTTCCACAAAAATCTCAGAACTCCATTGGGTTGAACGGGAGCAGTCAAAATGACGGCTCTGGGAGTACTAGTAGTTATATAATTGTGGGAGCAATAACATAGAAGGCATAAACAAAAAAGCACTTGTCCTACTCAGGCCTCCGTACACTCCCAGCTGCTCCAAGATGGCGCCGGAGGGGAGCGCATTGTCAGGCTCTGTGGATCGTACACAACAACCTCTGGCCCCCAACTCCACGCCCTCCTTCTCGGGCTTCACGCACCCTGTCAGACCCGCCCTGACTCCAGGGGGCCTCCTCCCGGCGCTGGGGCCCCTTGGTGGCATCTGACGACGCTTGGTGCGGCTGTGGCTGCGGTGAGTGCTGATAAACGATCGTCAAGTTTTTAAGCCTTTAATCACGTAAACAGTCATGTTCTTGTTATGTTACACGCATACATTTAAGGTGTGTGAAATATTTACAGTCTATGGTGAAATCACAAGAATGTATAATATTTAAGTCTACGATACTGTATGTCTGTGTGTTGCTGATGCAGGAGGATGATCCGGGACATGAGCATTTGTTGATCCGGACAAATAACTTAAACTAACTCTTTGGTGTTTTAATGCTTTATTTTCTATGCAATGGAGTTTTATTTGTTGAGAATAGTTTATACACAAGGCGACTCAGTGCTTAACAAAACAAGATAGAGCCAATCTACGCAAGGCATTCAAATGAATCCATCACAGCACATCAAAAAGAGTGAAAATACAATCCTTCAGTTGTGTGTACAGCTAAAACAAAACAGTTTTTACCCTGGATTTGAATGTTGACAGAGTAGAAGCCTGTCTCACATTTTCAGGAAGACTGTTCCAGATTATAGCTGCATTCATTTAATTGTTTGATTTTTCTGAGATGACTGCTTTTGTGGTTTTGGGCTACGCAAAAATAAATGTTCTGTTCTGTGCGTTTTGCTTTTTCCGATTTTACTCTAGTCCAAGATGCAGTTAAAATGAAGGAGGCAGAGTTTTAGATCCATGCAGCTCAAATCCTGAGCAGTTTCCCCCAAAATATGAGACAGTCTTCTACTCTGTTAAAATCCAAGTATTCCCCCCCAGTGTAACTCCCTGTTGTTTTGTTAGTGATTTGCCTTGTGTATGAATGAACTGTGCTTGGCTTGCCCAGATGCAATACATATGGGTCATGTTGACAAAATGCATTAAGGCTGCAACCATTGTTTTTGATGGATTGAGTGATTTTGAAGTGTCACATTTTTAAAGGTGATGTTTACAGACAAAACTATGTTATTATTGAGACAACTATGCATTTTTTCTGTGAATAGAGCCCAATCAGTTACTACAATAATCAATCATTAGAATAACTTAAACTCGTGTTCAAGTCGTGTTGTGTACAGCTCTATATATTATCATATTTATATTTTCATAATGGCAATTGGACCTGGTCTCTCTGGGGACCAAACAATCAATATAAAGAAGTATTTTTTTGCCATCTCAATTTTTATTTTGTTTTTTATTATTATTGAAATTCTATATGTACTGATGCATAGGCAAACACTGAGCATAAATTATTGTGCATTCTGGCAGCGTGTCCTCAGTCGCTCTGTGCAACAATCGTTACTTCCTTCTTTTCATTTTACTTAGGGTTTTTACACTCCAGAGCAGAGAAGATTCCCAGAATTGAGCAGACGCTGCCTATCAGAAGAGGGCTAATTTTTAACAAATGCACTAGTATGCTAATACAGCATTCAAGGTTTCACACTGAACCAGAGCCGAGAACATGGAATAAACCAAGAACCAAGCAGAAGCGCACCAGTCACTGGCCTCACCGCTATCGGCACCAGCGCTCTGGGAGACCAGGACTTTAGGTCTGACCTCTCCTTCAGAGGAGAGGGAGATCTCTCACCAGGGCACCAACCACACCAAAGGTTTTCTCACCTGAAGGACAAGGGATCTTTTATGTCTGTTTCGTCTTTATCAGCTGCTGATAGTTCCCTGAATTTCCCCTTATGGAAGAAAGCATCCATCCATCTATAAATTGTCTGATGGTTTTTATGTAAAATAACATATAATGCATGTGCATATGTAAAGTACATATTCTTCCTATCCTTCCTCAGCATATTTTGATGGCCAATATTTATATTTTCACGCAGAAAATATTGCAGTTAATAAATGACATAAAAATGTGTATAAATATGTTTAAAAACATAAATAACAAATTGAATTGCTATTATTGGATATTTCTGTGGGCAGGCTAGTCCCATTAGTCTGTGGTTAATATTAGACATTAGCTGTAAGTCATTGGCGTCAGGCACAATCTAAAAATACAGCGTGGGGGGGCTGTGACATCACAGCAGGATGTGCGTGTGGGTTACAACCCTCAGATTAGACTTGAAAAATGAAAAATGTCAACAATACACCTACAATTATACATGTTTGTTGTTGGTGTATTCACTTGACTCTTCTGACATCTCAAGGTTTTGACTTGAGCTACGTTTGCCTTGTCTTCAGTTACGATGGATTACTCTGTTTCTTCCTGTCACACACATGCATTAGTGAGATATTTTTACGGCAACATGGAGCGATCTGGTGGTGGCTCCGCTTTATGCTCTGGTCCATATACTGTAGGTGTCTGGAGTCCATAGAAGAACTCTGGTCCTGTGTAATTAGATATATGTCATACTGACGTACATGTGTGCAGTGGACCTGAAAAAATAACGTACAGTTCCTCTAAAAATAGGCCACACTTGAATATAAGCTGGAGGTTTTCATGTTGTAATGTAACAACAATGAAAAACAACTAGACGACTAATCTGGCTCACAATAGGAGGTTCTTGAATTTGCTCTAAAGGGTCTGCCACTGCATACGTTCTGTCCTTGATTGTTTTTTATTCATTCATGTATTATTTCCACAGTATTGGTCCTCAAATGCAGAAAGAACTGTTTTTCACTCACTCACAATGACTTGACTAGATACATATCATCTAGTTCATCAGTGTATATAAGGGTCTCCAGCCCAGTCCAGACCCCCGGCCCCTCAGAGCCTCCCCCAGTGAAGTTCTCTCCCATGGGCAGAGATGGAGCAGCGTGTGGCAGACTACTTTGTGGTGGCAGGTAAGATTTCCGTTTATTTAAACAAAGAAAGGTATAGTGTGCTTTTGTTTTCTGCATGATGAGTCTCAGTTGCTTGTGAGACGATGCCAGTAGTGCTTAGGCCTCACAGCAAGAAGGTTGTGGGTTTGATTATGTGTCGGCTCTTGGTAGTTTACATGCTTCTCCCTGTGTCTGAGTCTACTCTGGGCATTTCGGTTTCCCCACACTACCCAAAACATGTCAAGAAAGGTAAAATTACCAGCAAAGGCCATGACCAAACGCATGAAGTATGAAGATGGGATCCCTGGCAAATTGAAAATCTCAGAAGACTAGAATATTGCATGAAAAAAAAAAGAAATGTGTGACCTCTGAATGCACATGTACTGGGCTGGGTCTGGGCTCCCTTGCTTTCATTCCCCCGCTTTTATGTGGCGTGGCATGGAGACTCCCAGCTCTCGTCTGCTCTATTCTGCTGTAATCTGCGTGTTGTCGTCTCCTTCTAAACTCAACCAGCGCGCGGCACAGTGCTGCCCTCTACAATCTGCACTGGTTAGGTGGAACGCTCACTTTTTTCCCCCGGTCTGTGGAAGTAGCACAAACAGCACACCTACTGTGCAAGACAACCAGAGGTGTCTGACAGGCGTCACTTCTGCTAATATTTCGGCCTCCTTGGTGCGAGCCTGCGCCAATGAGCACAGGTCATTGATTTGAATGAGCAGACATCTTAGGTCGCTGGCATTTGATGTTAACAGGTTAGTCAAGTAACTCATTCTAGCAAATTGTGTATGGTGTGTTTCAGGCCTCACAGACCCTCACACCCCCCTGGAGGAGCCTCACCCCCGTCCCCCACCTCCCCTCCCCCCTATCACAGACGTGTCTGTGGTCCTGGCGCCTCGTCAGGGAGAGGAGCTTCCACCTGGATTCACTTGTGTGGAGAGCACGCCCAGCGGTCTGACTGCAGACCTCAACAGTGGAGGCCTCATGGCTCCTCAGGTGTTTGTGTGCTACAGGCGAGGCCGAGACAAACCCCCGCTCACAGACCTGGGGTGAGAAGACGCATGCTCAGAATGTAGGTTTGTTACACAGGACACACGGTTTACACACACGATGGTTATGGGGGGTATGTGTTAGTGAGAGTGGTGAGTTGGTGGGGGGAAGTGTGTAAAAGGTTATTAGGAAGGAATGTTTGTGAGGAGGATATATATATGGATGTTTGGTTGGGGTGGTGGTGATGTTTGGATTTTTATATTTGTTATGTTAGTGAATGTGGTAGGTGGGTTGATTGTGTAGTGTTGGGTTGGGGAGGTTTAGGGGGGGAAAGTGTTTGGGAATTGGTGGAATATAGGGGTTATTTTGGGGAATAGATTGGATGATAGGTAAGAATGAGTGGGGTAGGGGGGGGGTGGGGTGATTTAGTGTGGTTTAGATTTTGATGAGGGAGTTTTTTATTTTTATAAGGGGGGTGTATTAAAGGATGTGGAGATTAGGGTTTGTTTATAGGAGGATGGAGAAGGTGTTAGAGGGGATATAATTTTTATTTTTAGAAGGGGAGGTGGTATGTATGATTTGGGTGGGGGGGGGGGGGGGGGTGGTGTTATGTGGGATAAGGTGTTGGGATGGTGGGGTGAGTATGGGGTGAGTGGTGTGGGGGGGGGTGTATTATGGGGGGGGGGGGTGGGGGTGTTTGGTGGGTGGGGGGGGGTGGGGTTTAGTGGGGGGGGAGTAAGAGGTTTTTGGTGTTGGTTTAGGGGGGTTTGTATTGTTGAAGGGTGGGTATGGGGGTTGGGGGAATGGAGTGTGGGTTATTTGGGGTTTGGTTATTATGATGGTGTGGGATTTTTTGTGGTTGAGGGGGTTTGGGTGGTGGAGGTGAGGGGTGGGGGGGGGAATTGTTGGGGATTTTTAATATTAGGAGAAGGTGGGGTGAGGAAGAGAGTTGATGGATGAAGTGGGATGGGGTTAAGGAAAATAAGTTAAGTATAGTGATAGGTTTGATGTTATTTAAGGAGGGGTGTGTGTGGGAGTTATTGTGGGGGGGTTTTAAGGTTTTGTTGAGGTTTGTTGTAGGTTAATGGGTGTTGGTAATATGTTTATATGGGGGGATTATAATTGTGGGATGTTGTGGGGTTGTGGTTTTGGGGGGGTTTAAATTTGGTTGTGTGGGAGTTTGAGGGGATTGTAGGGGGTGTTAGTTATGTTGGTATTGTGGTATGAGGGGTTTAGGAGGAGTTTGTAGGTTTAGGGGGTGTGGTGTGGTGGGTGTGTTGGGGGTTTGGTGTGAGTATTTTGAAGGGGGATTATGTGTTTGGTTTGATGGGTTTATGTGTTGTGTGGGGTGATTTGTATTAGGGAGTTTTTGGTTTGGTGGGTTTGTGGGTGGTGAGGGTTATGGTGGGTTGATTGGGGGTTAGGTAAATTGGATAAATTTTATAAGGGGGATTGAAGGTGTTGGGGTGGGGGTAGTGGATAAGGTAATGGGGGGAGAAGGATGATGATATATGATGTGGGTGTAGGGAGAGTTTTTGGGGGAATTTGATTGTGGGTTTGATTGTGTTTTTTGATAGGATTTGTGGGTTGTTGGTGTTGTGTGTGAGTGTGTTTGGGATTGTGGTTTTGGGGGGGTTTGGAATTTTGGAGGTTTAAATTGGGTAGATGTGGTTTTTGGTTTTATATATGGTAATTATGGTTTGATGTATTGTGGGTTTTGGGGGTTTGGGGGGTGGGGTGTGGGGTGGAGGGGGGGTTGGTTGTTGGTGGTAGGGGGGGGTTTTTGGGGATATGGTGGTTGTGTAGTTGGTTTAGGGTGGGTGTGTGAGGGATGGGGTGGGGTTTGAATGTGAGATAATTTTTGGGGTGTAGGTGTGTGTTTTTATTGATAGGATATTTCGGTTGAGGGGGGGGGGGTGTGGGTAGTGTTTGGGGAGGGGGAATGTTAATTGGGGATATATAGGGGATGGGGGATAGGGTATGATGGTTGTGGGTATAGGGGTGGGTGATTAATAATGGTGAAGTGATTTTTAATAAATTGAATGGATATGGTGATTTGTGATTTGGGGGGGGTTTTGGAATAAGAAGGGAAAAGGAAAATAAATAGAATTTAGTGGGGGGGGGTGTGTGGGTAAGGGGGGGGTGTGTGGTGGGGGTAGGGTGTAGGGGTGGGGGGTATTAGGATGGTGTAAGGGGTGTTGGGGGTTGGGGGAATGGGGGGGGGGATGATATATGGGGTAAAAGGGGGGGTAAGTATGGGGGGGGGTGGTGAGGGGTGTATATTAAATTTTGATATAAGTATGTATATATATATATATATATAATATATATAGTAGATATATATATGTAGGATGTATAGATATATGGATATTGGTATGTGTGTGTATGGTTTGGATGTTAAGGTGTTTTTTGTTGGTTTTGGGGTGAGATTGGGTTTTATTTTTGGGGTTGGGGAGTATATGGTGGAGGTGGGGTTGAGGGGTGGGGGTGTAATGTTTTTGGGGATGGGGTTTGGAGTGTGGGGGGGATGGGGGGGTAGGGTGGGTAGGAGGGAAGGGTAAGGGGGTGGGGGGTGGGGGGTATGGGGGTGGGTTGGTATGGTTGGTGGGGTGGTGTGTGTTTGTGAATAGGAGGGGGTTGGTGGTTGTTTTGGGGGAAGATGAATGGTTATTATGTGTGTGGTTAGTGGAGGTTATTGAGGGGGTATGGTTAGGGTATAGGGGGGATAATGGGTAATGTTGGATGGGGATTTGGGTCAGGTGGGGAGAGATTGGGTTTTTAGGTTAGGGTGTGAAGGTGGGAATTAGGGTGTTTAATTTATGGGAGGGGTTAAAGTAGGTGGGAATTGTGGGTATGAGAGAGTTTGTGGTTAGGGTAAGTGGTATAGGGTGTAAATAAAGATGGGTATATGTGGGTATAAGTGGTAAGGTGTAATTGTGGTGTTTTTAGGGGGGGGTGGGGGTTGGGGGTTTTTGATGTATGGATGTGGGAGTTTTGTGTGGTGTAGATTTGGAGGAGGGGGGGGGGGGGGGGAAAGTGGATGGTATGAGGGGTGGGGTAGTGGGGGTAATATGTATGGGGGATTTATTGGGTTAAGAATTGGTTTTGAGGAGTGGGAATTGGGAGTGGGGAGTATTAATGTTAATAATAGGGGGGGGTATTTTGGATTGTATATGGGTTGGTTGATGTAATAGAATGAAATTAAATAATTGAACTTTTTTGTTATGGGTGTATGTGATTAATGTGATATTTGTGTTATATTTTAGTTTGAGTTTTGGGTTAGTTGTTGTGTTGAGGTTTATTGTAGTAGGTATTATTGGTTTTGTGTAGGAAGTGGTGGGTGGATTTTTATAAGTAATAATTTGTTTTATTTTGTTCAATTATTGTTTTAGAGTTTGTGAAGATGTTTATGGTGTTTATGTGAATGGTGGGTAAGAATTGGTTATTGTGTATAGGTTGTAAATTTATTGTATTTTGAAATTGGAATTGATGGATTAAGGTGATGGTGTGTAAATTTTGTGGTATTTTTGGTTTTGAGTTTGGATTAAGTATGTGTGAGTTATTTTGTTTGTGGTGTGTTTTTTTGAATTGGATTTGAGATATGGGTATTGGGTAATGTGAAATTGATGGGTTAGGATTTTGTGGTGATTGGTAATTTTATGGGGTTTTATGTTTTTGTGTGTATGTGATGTATGTGTAAAGGGTGGTGTATTTATGGTGGCGGTTTTGGGGGGGGATTGGGATTTTTGGTGATGTGGGAGGGGTTGAGATGGGGGTGATTGAAGTGTGATTTGTTTGTTTTTTTAATTATGTGATATTTTGATGGTTTTTGATGGTGGTTGGATTTGGGGGTTGTGAATTTTTAAATTGTGTTTGTTTGTTGTGGTGTTGGTTGGGGTTTATGAGGTGGGGGATATATGTGGTGGTTTGATTTAGAGATGGTTGTGGTTAAGTAAAATTAAATTTTAGAGATTGTGTGGTGAGAGTGTTTGGTGTTGTAGTTGGGGGGGTTGGTGGGGGTATTTATTGAAATTTAAGAAGTGTGGGGTGGTTGGTGTATGATAGGAAGGGGGGATATTTTGTTTGGGGTTTTTAGGTAATTTTGTGTGGGTGTGTGGTTAGTGGGGGGAAAGGGAGGGGGGGGATATGGGGGTGGAGGGTGTTGGTGTTGTTATGGGGTGATTTTGAAATAGTTATGTGATAGGTGTTGGGTTTGGTTTAATATGGGTGGGTTTGTGGTGGTTTTATTTGTTTGGGTGGTTGTTGTGGGGGGAGATTGTTTTGATTTGTGATTTTTGTTGGGGGTTTTGTGTGGTGGTTTGTGGGTTTTAGTGTGGGGTTTATGTTTTGGTTTGTTATATGGAGTTGTGGTTTTTGGGGTAGTTGTGTATGGGGGTTTTTTGGGGTAGTGGGTTTATTGGTGATGGTGTGTTTTGGTGTGTGTTGTTTTGGGTATGGTGAGGAGTTTGGTGGTAGATGGAGAGGGGGGTGGGGAGGGGTGGGGTAGGTTGAGAGGTGGGAGGGGGGGGGGAATGTGGGGGGGGGGGGGGGGGGGTGGGGGGGTGGGGGGGGGGTTGGGGGGGGGGGGGGGGGGGGGGGGGGGGGGGGGGGGTGGTGGGTATGGGTGGGGGGGGGGGGGTGGGGGAATTGGTTTGTGGGTGTTTTGAAATAGGTGTGTGGGGGGGTGGTGTGGTGGGGGTTGGGGATGTATGGGGGAGGGGGGTGGGGTGGTATGGGGGTTTGGTGGGGGGTGTGGGTTGGGGGGGGGAGGGGAGATAGGTGGGTGGTTATTGGTTGGGTGATTTGGTGGGTGGTGGGGTGATTTTGGGGGTGGGGGGGGGGGGTGGGTTTGTGGTGTGATTGTTGGAAGTAGGATGGTAGAGTATTGGGGGTAAGGTTGTGGGTAGAATGGTGGGGGTTATGTGGGGGATTAGAGATAGGGGGGTTATTGTGGTAGGAATGGGGGGGTAGGGGTATTGGTGGTGTTTTTTAGGGGAGGAGGGTTAGGGAGGGGGTGTTTGTGTATTTGTTTAATAGGGGGGTTAGGTGGTTGGTTAGGTTTGTTTAGGAAAATGGGTGGGGGGGAGATAAAGGTGAAGAGAGGAGGAGATGGAAGGTATTGTGGTGGGGGTGAGAGGTAGGGATTGATGTATGGGTTTTATTGGGTGGGAGTGGGGTGTTGTATGGGGATATATTATGTGATATTATGTTGGATTGGGTTGTTGTATGTGAGGTGGGGGGATGGGGGTTAAGAATTATATAGGAATAGGAATGGGGTAGGGTAGTATTGTGGTATTTTATGGGTTTTGGGAGGGAGGAGGGAGATGGGTGTTGTTGTGGGTGGGGTTAGGGTTATTTGGGGTGGGTTTTGGGGTGGGGTGTGTGTTGGGGGGGGTTAGTGGTGGGGAATGGGGGGATTTGTTTTTTGGTTGTGTATGGGTTAGAGGGTGGTATGTTAATGTTGGGGGGATTGGGGGGTGAGGTGTTGGTTGTAGGTGGGGTTTGTGAGTGTGGGGGGTGGGTGGGTGTGTGTTAAGGGAGTGTGGGGTGTTTATTTGGTGGGGTTTTTTGTGTGTTGGGGGTGGTTGTTTGGGGGGGGGGTTGGTGTTGGGTTGTTTGGTGTGGGGGGGTGGGGGGGTGGGTTGGTTTGTTGTTTTTTTTTGATAGGTTTTTGTTTTTGGTTGTAGGAGAGGTTTGTGGTGGTGGGGGGGTGGGGGGGGGGGGGTTGTGGGGGTAGTATGATGTTTTTTGTAGGTTGTTTGTGGGTTTTGGGTTGGGGTTTGGGTAGTTGGTGGTGGGTGGGGGTGTATAGGATTTTGAGGGGGGGGGGGGTTGTATTTATGGTTGGTGGGAGGGTAGGTTTGGGGTGGGTGGGGGGTAAGGGATGTTTGGGGTTTGGTGGGGGTATGAGGGGTGGTTTGGTTTGGTTGGGGGGGGGGGGGTGTGGGGGTGGTGGTGGATTGGGGGGGGGGTGTGGGTATGTGTAGGAGTTTGAGTTTGGGTGTTGGTTTTGGGTGTTGGGTGTGGTTGGGGGGGGTGGTTGGGTTTTGGGGGGGGGTGTGTGGGTGGTTTGGGGGTTGGGGGGGGGGGGGGGGGGGGGGGGGGGGGGGGTTTTTTTTTTTTGTTTGTATAAAATTATTTTTGTTCTTATTGAATAATGTTGAGGGGTGTGGGTGGTTGAGTTTTGGGTAATGTGTTGGGGGTGGGGGGTTGTGGTATTTTGTTTGTGGGGTTTGGTGTTTTTAGGGGGGGGGGTTGGTGTGTTTGGGATTAGTTTAGTGGGGGGGATTAGGGGGGTGTGTTGGGGTTATGGTTGGGTTTTTGGGGTGGGGGGGTGATATATTGGGTGGGGGTGTGTGTTGGTTTGGGGGGTTGGGGGGGGGGTTAGTGTGGGGGGGGGGGGGGTTGGGTTAGTAGGTTTGGTGGTGTTTATATTGGTTTTGGGTGGTTGGTGGGGTGTTTTTGGGGGGGGGGGGGGTTGTTTTTTTGTGTGGGGGGGGGAGTGTGGGGGGGGGGGGGGGGTTGGTGTGTAGTTTTGGTTTGGGTTGGGTTGGGTTGGGGGGTGGTGGGGTTGGTGGGGGGAGTTGTGGGTTTTATGTTGTTTGGGGGGGTGTTTGTGGTGGGTGGGGGGGGGGGGGGGGGGGGGGGTGGGGTTGGTTGTGGTTGGTTGGTGTTTGTTGTTTTTGTGTTGGTTGTGGTATTTTTTGGTGGGGGGTGTGGTTTGGGTGTGGTTGTAGGGTGTGTGGGGTGGTTTGTTTGTTGGGTAGGTGTGGGTGTGGGTTAGTGTTGTTTGTTTTAGTGGGTGTTTTGGTGGGGGGGTGGTGGGGTGTGTGTTTGGGTGGTGTGTTGTTTTGGGGGGGGGGTATTGTAGGTGTGGAGTGTTTTTGTTGATTGTGGTTTGGGGGTTGGTTTGTTGTTGGGTTTTATAGTTTAGGTGGTGAGGTGGTATGGGGGGTGGGTGTTTTGTTTATTGTAGGTGGGGGGGGTGTGTGGGGGGGGTGGGTTGGTGGGTGGTTTGTTGTTTGTGTGGTTTTTGGTTGTTGGGGGGGTGTGGTTGGGGGGGTGGGTGTGGTGGTAGGGAATGTAGGGGGGTGTTGGGTGATGGTGTGTGGGTGTGGGGGGGGGGGGGGGGTGGGGGGGTGGGGGGTGGGGGGGTGTGTGGGGGGTGTGGGTTTGTTGTGGGTTTGTTGGTTGTGTATGGTTGGGTTTGTTGGGTGGTTGAGGGGAATTGGGATTTTTGGGGATGTGTGGTGTGTGTTTTGGGTGGGGGTTTGGGGGGGGGGGTTGGTGGTTTGGGGGGGGGGGTGTGTGGTGGTGGGGGGGTGGTTGAGTGTTGGTTGTTTTTGTGTGTGTGTTTTATGTTTTGTTGGGGTTGTTTTTTGGGGGGGGTGGGGGGGGGGGGGGGGGGTTGGGGGGTGTTTGTTTGGTGTTTGTGGGGGTTGGTGGGGTATTGTGTGGGGGTGTGTTGGGGGGGGGGGGGGTGTGGTGTGGGGTGTGGGGGGGGGTTGGGGGGGTTTTTGGTGTGTGGTTGGGGGGTGGGGTGGGGTGGGGTGGTTGTGTGGGGGGGGGGGGGGGGGGTGTGGTAGGTGGGGGTGGGGGGTTGGTTGGGGTTGTAGTTGCTGTTGTGGTGGTTGTGGGGTGCTGTTGGGTGGGGTGTTGGGGGGGGGGGGGGGTTGGGGGGGGGTGGTTGGGTGGTTGATTGGGTGGTGGGGTGTTGGTGTGGGGGTGGGGGGGTGGGGTGGTTTAGGTTGGGGGTTTTGGTTGGGGGGGGTTGTTTTTTGTTTTGGGTGTTGGTGTGGTGGGGGGGGTGGGGGTGGGTTTTGATGGGGTTTGGTTGGGGTTGGGGGGGGGGGGGGGGGGGGGTGGGGGGGGGGGGGTGGTTGGGGTTGGGTTGGGGGTGGGGTGGGTGGGGGTTGTGTGGGGGTGTTTTGGGGGGTGGGGGTTTTTTGTTAGGTGTGGTGTGGGTTGTGGGTGTTGAGGGGGGGGGTGGGTGTGGTTGGGGGGTGGGGGTGTTTTATGTGGGTGGGTTTTGTGTGGGGGGTGGGGGGGGGGGTGGGGTTGGTGTGGGGGGTGGGGGTTGTTGGGGGGGGGGGTGGGGGGGGGGGGTGGGGGGGGGGGGGGGAGGTGGGTTGGTGTGGTTTGGTTGTGTTTTGTTTGGGTGGTGTGGTGTTTTGGGTGGGGGGGGGGGGTTTGTGGTGTGTTTGTGGTTTGGTGGTGTTGGTGTGTGTTGGTGGGGGGGGGGGGGTTTGGTTTTGTGTGTGGTTGGGTGGGGGGGGGGGTGGTGTGGTGTTGGTGGGGGGGTTTTTGTGGGGGGGGGTTTTGGGGGGTGGGGGGGGGGGGGTTGTGGGGGGGGTGGGGGGGGGTTGGGGGGTTTTTTTGGGTGGGGGGTTTAGGTTTGTTTATTGGGTTGGGGGGTTGTTTTGTGGGGGTTGTTGGGGTTGGGTAGGGGGGTTGGTGTGTGGGGGGGTTTTTGTATTGGGGTGGGGGAGTGGGTGGTTGGGGGGGGTGGGGGATTGTGGGGGGGGTGTGGGGGGGGGGGTTTTTATGGTGGGTGGTTTTGGGTGGTGTTTGTTTGAGTTGGGGGGGTGGGTGATGGGGTATGTGAAGGTGTTGATAAAGGGGTGGTTTTGATTTGTAGAGGTGGGATGTAGGGGGGGGGGGGGAGGAAGGGTGAAGGGGAGAGGGTGAGTGTGGGAAGGGGATTGGAGTAGAGTTTAAAGAGAGTATAAAAAGGGTATGGGGAATGGTGTTAGGATTAGGATTTTAGTAGGAAAGGGATGTATGATAATGTTAGATGGTGAAGGGATATGTTAAATTGGTAGGAGGGTTGAGATGTGGGAGGGATGAGATAAAAGAAGTTGAATGGTGATGGTAAAGGGTAAGGGGGAAATTGGGTGGGAGTTGGTGGTGGGTGGGAGGATGTGGTGGGGTAATTTATTTGAGGTTTATAATAAGAGGGGTTGTGTTGGAGGGGGGGGTGGGGGGTGCGGTGGGGGTGTGGGGGAGGGGGTGTGGATGGAATAAATATTGTGTGGTGGGTTATTGTAGGAGGTTGTTTAATGGTTAGGGAGGGGTAAAGTTATGGTGGGAAGGGTTGATGGGGGGATTGTTTGTTTTGGATTTTTTGTTGGATGAATTTGTATGTGGTGGTGGTGAGGTGTATGGGTTATTAAGTTAGGTGATGTTTTTGTTGTATTGTTGTGTGGGGGGGGGGGGGGAATGTAATTGTAGTGGGGTAGTGGTAGAGGGTGTTGGTATGTTATAGGGTTTGATTAGGGGGGGTTGGGTATAGAATTATGGAGTGATTTGGGGGATGTTAAGGGTAGGGGGGAAAGGGGGGGGGGAGTGTGGTTGGAATTGGAGTATGGGATAAGGGGGGGGATAGGGAGGGGTGGTGTGGGAAATGGAGAAGAGAGGGGTTGTATTAGGGATGGAGGGTGGGTGAGGGGGGGGAGTTGAGGGGGAGAGTAAATAGTATTGTTTTATGGGAGGATGGGAGGGTTGGTTTTAGGATTGAAATGTAGTGGGGATGGTTGGGTTGGATGTATGTTTAGTTAGTGGGGAAATTAAGAAGGGGTTGGGTGGGGTTGTAGAGATTGGGGAATAAGGGGGGGAAGGGGAAGAGGAAAATGTATTTGTTTGGTTGTATATTGTGTTGTGGATTGGGATTAGTATATATAGGGGTTGTAAGTAGGGGATATATGTGTGTGGTGGATTTGATGTTATTTTATGGGTGGGAGGATGTGGAAGGGGTGTGGAAGGATAGGTGGGAAGTGGGAGTAGTTGTAGTTATAAAGAAAAAAGGGGTGATATTTTGATATTGGGTGATAGATTGGTGGTGTTTATTGTTTGGGTGTTTTGTTTTTTTTTTTGAGGTTTTTTTTAGGGATTTTTGTTATTTTTTATTGTGTTTTTGGTGATGTTTATATGTGATGATTGATTGTGATGGGGGGTTGGGTGAAGAGGAATGGGGTTTTTTGTTTATTTTGTTTGGTTTGTTGTGTTAATTATTTATTTTTATTATTTGGTATTTATTTGTTTTTGTATTAATTATTTTTAAAGTGGGGTATATATAGATACGTATGATGTTTATGTATATAAAAAGTATTTTAAGTGAATGTGGTATATTTGTTGTAGTTTGTAAGGTGAGTTATATGTGAATTGTTATTGAGATAGGTGTTTGGGTTATAGTATATGTTGGTATATGGGTTTTTTGTGAGTATGTGTTTATGTGTATGGGGTTTTTGTTGTATGGTGATGTTTAAATTTTGGGTTTTTATTGGATATGATATTGTATTTTTGGGTGTGGATGTTGGGGAGGGTTTGGTAATGTGGAGTTTATGTGTTGGTTGTATTATGTTTGATATAGGGGGTTTAGGGAAGTTGAAGGGGATTCGGGGGTGGGGGTTTGGGAGAAAGGTATGGAGTATGTATATGGTTTTTTAGGTGGTTATATGGTTTGGGTATTTGTGGGGATGTGGTTAATGGTGTGGGGGGGAAGTTTGTGTGAATTTGTATGTGGGGTTAATGGTTGGTGGTGGATAGGGAAGAAGATATGTGATGAGGGGGGGTTGTAGTGTATGATGGTTGATTTGGGGTTGTTTAAGGTATTGTGAGTTTATTGGGGGTGATGGGGGGGGGGGGGGGGGGATGGGAGAGTATTGGAGGGGGGGTGGAGAGTTGAGGTGAGGGTATTTTGGATGAGGTGTTTTAGGAGTATTGGGAGTTGTGAGTAGTGGGGGGGGGGGGGGGGATATTAAAAATGCAGATTAATATGCTTGGGAATTGATTTTGGTAATATAAGGTTGGGTTAAGTTTATTATATAAGTGGGGCATTGGATTTTTTCTTTAGTATACAATATTTGGTTAGGGTGATGTGGGGGAATTTGTTATAGATGGTGTGTTATATAGTGGTTTGAGTAGGTAGTATAATATTTTAAAGGGTATTATTTAAGGTTTGAAAGTGATAGTATGTGGTATGGTTTTTGAGGTGTTTGGGGAAAGGGAAATGGGGGTTGGTTGGATTTGGCGGTATTTTTTATAATTTTTTGTGGTTTGATGATTTGGTGAGGATTTGTATGTGTTGAGTTGTTTAGGAGTGTGGTTTACTTTAGGATAGGGTGAAGATGGTGATTGGATTTGTTATTGGTGGGTGTAGGAGGGGGGGAAGGGGGGTTGGGAGTTAGTGTATGGTAAGAGGTGGAGGTTTTGAGGATAGTTATGTGTTTTAAGTGGTTGGGTTGTATTTGTTTAATATTTGGTGGGTTTGGGTGTTTGCGATATTATTAGGTTTATATTGATTATGGGTAGGTAGTGTGTATGAGATTTATTTAGATTATTTTAATGTTAGGTTGATGTGTTTTATGGTTATGTGGAGATGTGAAAGAAATGTATTTTTTGTATTAGTGGTTGGATGTGATGTGGTATGTATTATTATTAGGATTGTGTAATTGAATGTGGGGAAAAGTTTGTGGGGGATGGTTGATGATTTATGATTTGGCATTAGAAGTGTGTTCAATGGGGGAGGTTATTGGTAGATATGTCTGTGTAATTTAGATATTCAGGTGGTAAAAGTTGCTTGGGAATTTAAAATATAAATAGATGTAGATTGTAGTAGATATAGAATGTGGAATAATGATGTGATTGTTTTTTAAATTAGTTATTATCAAAAAGTGGGGTGAGGATAGGGGGAAGATGAAGTAAGGGTAAGAGGATGGTAAAAAGGAGGGGTGTGTAATATGGAGTCTTCAGGGATGGGATGGTTGGTAGTGTGAGTATGGATTGGGTATTATGTAGGGTAAATGAATTGGTGTGGGGTGTGTGGAGAATTTGGTAAGTAGGATAGAATGTGTATGTATTTTATAGTGTTGAGATTATGGTAAGATGGGAGTGTAGGAGGGTAATTGGTGGGGGGTGGATGGTATATGGGGAAAGGTTATCTGGAGTGTTTTTGAATGTGGGATAGAGGATTGGGGTTGTAGTTGGTTTGGGGATTGTTGTTTTGATATTTGAATTTGTTGTGGATTGTTGTGGTTATATTTAAGTTGATTGGGGGTTGTGTATATGATATAAGGTATTTATATTATTTTAATATGTGGGATGTATAGGGATTTATGTAATTGTATTGTGTGTTTGATTTGTTATGTGAGGGGAGATTTTTTTATGGTGGATTTGTTTGTAAGGATTGGGTGTTATTTGTTTTTTTTGGGGGTTATGGTGGGTGGGGTGTAGGTTTTTTGAGTGGGTGAATGATGGTGAGGATGGATTGGTGAGTGTAGGTTTTGGGGTTGGGGGGGTGGGGTGGTTGTGGTTGGGTGGGGGTGTTGGGGGGGGGGTGGGGGGGGGTGGGGGGTGGTTGTTGGGGGGTGTAGGGGGGGTGGTGTAATAAATGTATGAATATATAATCATGGTGGATATTTGGTAAATAGGGGGTGTGGAATTAATAGGGTATATATATATTATAGATGAATGGGGGATATGAAGGTGGATAAATAAATATAGAAATGTATAATGATATAGTAAAAGGTAAAAAAAAAAAAAAAAGATAGATATAATAGATGGTGATGGTGGGGAGGGGGGTGGGGGATTGGTGGGGGGGAAGGGAAGGGGAGATGGAGAGGGTAAGGGGAGGGGTGGGTTTGAGTGGGAGAAGGGGTAGGTGAAATATGGGTAATGAGAATGAGGAATTGTAAAATGTTATGTGGGAAAGGGGGAGGGTAAGATTAAGGTTTGATTTAGGTTTTATTATGTGTATGGTGGGGTTGTGTGGGGGGGGTGGGGAGATAGTTTGGAGTTGTATTGGTGGGGTGGAGAGAGGGGGGAGGTAAATAGGAGAGTGTGTTTTGTTTAGTTGGTAGTGTGAGAGGTAGTTGGGGGGGGGGGGGGTTTAGGGGGTTTTAATGTATAGATGTGATGTTGGTTTATTATTGTAGATTGAGATTTTTTAATGGTTTAGGGTTTTGTGGGATGTGATTATGGTGGGGGGTAGGGGGGGGTTTGTGGTGTGGGGGGGGGGGAGGAAGGGGGGGGGGATTGGTGGGGGGGTGGGAAAGGGTATAGGGTTATGGGGTGAGATAGGTTTGTGAGTAGTTGGTTTTTGTAGGGATGAATGGGGGGATTGGTTGGGGATTGTGGTTGGGGTTATATGTGGTGTGGAATGGAGAAGAGGAGGGGGGGATGATATGGTGGATTATTGGGATGGGGATTTGGATTTTATTTTTTAAGAGGGATTTGGTTGTGGGGGGGGTTGGGGGGTATGGGGATTAGGTTGTTTAGTGGTATGGAGTTAAGTTGGAAGAAGGGAGGGGTGTTATTGGAAGTTGGTGATTGGTTGATATGGGGTATATGGGTAGTTGGGTTTGGGGGGGTTTTTAGAGGGGGGGTGGGATGTTTTGTTTTTATGTTTTATTTATATATAGATATTTTTTGGTTGTTGTTTGGTTGATGAGTTGGTTTTGTTGGGTTGATGGGTTTCGTGGGTTGAGTTTTGTGGGATTATGAGGGTGATTTGAGGGGGGGGGATTTTTTTATTGTTGTGGGATTTTAGGTGGATAAGTTGGGGGGGGGGTTTTTGGGGGGGTGGTTAGGGGGGATGTTATATTGGTGATTGTGTATTTGGGAGATTTGGGTTAGGTTTGTTATTTGTGGTTTAGAATTTTAAGTTAATGGGGGGAGGGTGTTGTGAGTGTGGTAGTTGGTGGGGGAAGGGGAAGAGGGTATTTAGGGTTATTGTTTGTGAGGAAGGATATATATTATGATGTTTGGTAGGGGGTGGTGGGAGTTTTGGATTTTTATTTTGTTGTTGTTAGGGATTGTTGTAGGGGGGGTTGATTTGTGTTAGTGGGGGGGGGGAGGGGTTTAGGGGGGATGAGTTTTGGAAAGTTGGAATATAGGGGTTATTTTGGATAGAGGGGGAGGTTAGGGTGGAAGGAGTGGTCGTTAGGGGGGGGTGGGGATTATTGGGTTTTAGATTTGATAGGGAGTTTTTTATTTTTATTAGGGGTGGTTTTATTATAGATATGTGGAGATGTATGGGGGGTTTTTGGTTTGGTTTTTTAGAGGATGGAGAAGGGTTAGAGGGATATAATTTATATATTCGAATTTTTAGTGTAGTAATTATTAATTTGGGTAGTGTGTTGTGTTTGGAGTGGAAATGTGGTTAAAAGGGGATGTGTGATGTGTTGGGTATGTAAGTTGAATTGGTGTGGGGTGTTTTAATAATTGTGTTGGTGGTTGTAGTTAGTTGTTGGTGTGTTTTAAAAGTGTGTGGAGTAGAGGATTTTTTTTGTTGGTATAGGGTATGGTATTGTGGAAGTTGTATTTGTGGGGTTTTTGGAATTATGTTGTTATTTAGGGGTTTTGTTATTGTTTTTTGGGGGTGTGTGTTGGCGCCACGTTGGGGGATGATGGGTGTGGGGAGGTTTTTTGTTTGAGGGGTTTTGGGGTTGTGGAGGGAGGGGGGGGGGGATGGGGGGGGGGGGAGTTTTATAGTAGGGAGAGGGGGGGGGAGGAAGGAGAGGAGGGGAAGGAAGGGGGATGGTTTAGGAAAAAAGAGGAGAGTGGAGAGAGAGGGGTGATGTTATTTAAGAGGGGTGGTGGGGGGGGAAGTGATGTGGGGGGGTGTTAAGGGGGTGTTGGGGAGTTTTGGGGGGGGATTGGGTTATGGGGGGGGGTGGTAGATGTTTATTGGGTGGTTTATAATGGAGGGTTGTTGGGGGGTTGTGTGTGGGGGGGGGGGTTTAAATTTGTGTGGGAGTTTGGAGGGGGGATTGGTAGGGGGTGGTGAGTTATTGGGAGTGTGGTATGAGGGGTTTGAGGGAGGGAGGTGGGAGTTAGGGGGGGGGGGTGGGGTGGGGGGGGGGGGGTGGTGGGGTGGGGTAGTATTTTGAAGGGGGATTTATGGGTTTGGTGTTGAGGGGGGTTTATGGGGGTGGTGGGTGATGTTAGGAGGAGTTTTTTGTTTGTGGTTGGTGGGTTGTGAGGGTTTTGGTGTTGTTTGTGGTTATGGGTTTAAATTGGATAATTTGATATTGGATTGAGGGTTGGGGGGTGGTATTGGATAATGTATGTTTGGGATAAGGAGGGTGGATATATGAATGGTGTAGGGGAGAGTTTTGGGGGTAATTGTATGTGTGGGGTAGGAATGGGGTTTTTGGGAGGGATGTGGTGGGTTTGTGGGTGTTGTTGTTGATGTGTGTTTGGGATTGGGGGTTTTGGGGGGTTTGGAATGTTTGGGGTTTAAATTGGGTAGGGATTGTGTTGGTATTATATATGGTATTTTGGTGTGTTTATTTGGGGTTTGTGGTTTGGTGGGGGTGTGGGATGGAGGGGTGGGTGTTGGTTTGGTGGGGAGGGTTGGGTTTTGGGGATATGTGTGGTTGTTTTTGGTTGTAGTGGTGGTGTGTGAGATGGGGGGTTTGAATTGTGAGAGAATTTTGGGGGGTGGTAGGTGTGTGTTATTATTTATATTGATATGTAGGTGTGTGGTGGGTGGGTGTGGTATTTATTGGGTGTGTGGAATGTTAATTGGATATATATGTTATGGTATAGGGGTATGTATGGTGTGGGTATAGGTGGGAATGGTAAAATGTGAATAATTAATAAATTGATATGGTATAAGGTGTATTTGTGATTTGGTTTTGGAATAATGAATGAAAAGAAAATAGAATATAATAGTTATGTTGGGTGGGTGGTGTGTAATGGGGTAGATGTGGGGTGGGTGTAGGGTTTGGGTGGTTGGATTATGAGATGTGTAAGTTGGTGGTTGGGTTGTGTGGGGGTAATGTGGGTGGGGGATGATAAAATGGGGTAATGTGAGAAATAATGGGGGTTTGTGGTGGAGGGAGTATATTAAATTTTGGATATCAAGTATGTATAAATATAATATATATATATATATATTAAATAAAATATATTTTATGTTATTTATAGCTATATTGATATGGTATTTTGTTTATTGTTTGAAGTTAATGAGTTTTTTGATGTGTTTGTTGTATAATTGGGTATATATTGTTGTTTTTGTGGGGAGTGATATGGTGGTAGGGTGGTGTTTGAGGTTTGGGTGGTGTAATGTTGTGGTTTATTTGTGTTTGGATTGTTTGGTATTGGTAGGGGTGGGTAAGGGAAGGTATAGGGGGGTGGGGGGGGGTGGGGGGTAGGGGATGGGGGGGGGGTTGGTATGGGGGTGGGGGGGTTGTTGAGTTTGGAATAGGAGGGGTTGGTGTTGTTGTGGAAGTGAATTTTGTAATTTGTGGTGTTATGTGTGGAGGGTTATTGAGGGGGGTATGGTTATGGTATATGGGGGATAATGGGTAATGTTTGGGATGAGATTTTAAGGTGGAGAGGATTGGGTTTTGTAGGGGTAGGTGGTGAAGTGAATTAGGGTGTTTAATTTAATGGGAGGGGGGAAAGTAGGGTGGGGAATTGGGGGTATAGAGAGTTTGGTGGGTAAGGTAGGGGGTGTAGAGGTGTAGATAAAAGATGGGGTAAATAGGGGGTGGTAAAGGTGGTAAGGGGTGGTACTGTGTGGGGTGTTTATAGGGGGGTGGGTGGGGGGTGTGGGTGTTTTGATGTATGTGGGGTGGGTGGGGGATTTGGGTGTTGGTGTAGATGGTTGATGAGGGGGTGGGGGGGGAAAGTAGGAGGGGTATGAGGGGGTGAGTGGGTATATGGGTATGGGGGATGGTTATATGTTAAATAATTTGTTTTGAGGAGTGGGAATTGGAGTGGGAAGTATAATGGTTAATATTAATGGTAATTTGGATTGTATATGGGGTTGTGATGTATGAGGGGTATGGATTTTTTAGGGTAGGGGGTGGAGGGTGTAGTGAAGTAGGGGTTTTGGGGGGGGGTTTTGGTGTTTGGTGGGGGGTTTGGTGGGGGTGAGGGGGGTGGTGGTGGGTAGAGGGTGGTTTTTTGGTGTTGTGGGGGTTAGGAAGGGGGGGGGATGTTTATATGGAAAATGATGTGGGTTTTGTGGGTAAAGTATTGGTTGATAAGGTGTGGTATAGTTTTGTGGTTTGATGTGGTAGGGGGAGGGGTATGGGATGGTTTTGGGGTATGTTGGATATTTAGTTTTGGAAGGGGGAGATTATGATTAAGTGGAGGGTGTGGATATTGGTGTTTTTTGTGTGTGTGTTTTTGGGGATGATTAATGTTGGGTGGATTTTGGTGTGTGTGGGGGTGAATGGAGAGTTGTAATTGGGGGGGGTTTGGGTTAATGGGATATGATGGGTTGGATTTTGGTGTGTTGGGGATGGTATGGGGGGTGGGTATTGTGTGGTGTGTAGGATTGATGGTGTACGGGGGTGATTTACTGGTTGTTGGGTGGATTGGGATTTTGGTATGTGTGGGGGTGGAGTGGTGTTTGATGTGTGATTTGTGTGTGTTTGTTTAATTATGGTGGTGGATATTTGATTGTGTTTTGATTTTGGGGGTTGATGGTTGGGTGTGAAATTTTAATATTGTGTGTTTTTTGTGTGTGGGTGTTGGGTTTTTGAGGTGTGGGGATGATATGAGTTTGTGGTTGATATAGAATGGGGTGTGGGTTAGTTAAATAAAATTTAGTGAGAATTGTGTGGTGAGAGGGTTGTGTTGTAATTGGTGTGGTTGTGGGGTATGGATTAAATATAGAAGGGTGGTGTTGTGGTATGATAAGGAAGGGGGAATTATTGGGGTTGGGGGTTTTAGGTATTAGTTGTTGGTTGGGGGATGGTGGTTAGTGGGGAGGGAGGGGGGATATGGGGGTGGAAGGTGTGGGTGTTTTTGTATGGTGAGTTTTGAAATAGTTATGTTGAATAGGGGGTGTTGTTTGGGTTTATTAGTTTGGGTGGATTGTTTTTTTGGGGGTATGGTGTGGGAGATTGTTTTGATTTGTGGATTTATGAGGGGGTTTGTGTGGTTGTGTGGGGGGGTTTAGTGTGGGTTGAATTTTTTGGTTTGGTTATATGGGGAGTTGTGGTTTTTGGGGTGTTTTGTATGGGGTTGTTGGGGTGGGGTTATTGGGATTGTGTTGGTTTGGGTGTGTGGGTTGGGTGTTGGGTTTGGTAGGAGTTGGGGGTGTAGATGAGAGGGGGGGGAGGGGGGGGGGGGGGGGGGGGGGGGTTAGGGTTGAGGAGGTGGAGGGGGGGGAATTGTGGGGGGGGGGGGGGGGTGGGGGGTTGGGGGGGGTTGGGGGGGGGGGGGTGGGGGGGGGGGTGGGGTGGGTGGTAGGGTGTGGGGGGGGGGGGGTGGGGGGTTGATTGTGTTGGGGGTGTTTTGTATTAGGGTTTGGGTGGGGGGTGTGGTGGGGGTGGGTTGGATGTATGGGGAGGGGGGTGGGGTGGTTGGGGTGGTTTTGTGTGGGGGTGGGGTGGGGGGGGGGTAAGGGAGATAGGGCGGGTGGGTTAGATTTGGGGGTGATTGGGGGTGTGGGGGGGGTGATTTGGGTGGTGGGGGGGTGTTGGTTGTGATTGTGGGTGTAGGGGGGGATGGTAGTATTTGGTAGAGGGTTTGTGGGGTAAATGGGGGGGGGTATTGGTGGGGGGGGGATAGAGAGAGGGGGGGTGGTAGGGGGAGGAAGTGGGGGGGGTAGGTATTGTAGGTGTGTTTAGGGGGGGGTAGGGAAGGGTGGTAGGGGGGAGGGTGTTTGTGTATTTGGGTTTAATAGGGGTTAGGGTGTGTGAGGTTTGTTTAGGTATGTGGGGGGGAGGATAATTGAGAAGGAGAGGGGAGGAGGTTGGAAGGGATTGTGAGGGGGGGGTGTGGAGGGAGGGATGGATGGGGATTTGTTTGGGGGGGGTGGGGGATGTGGGGGGTGTGTATGATAGGTTATTGTATTTTGTTGGATTGGGGGGTTGTGTATGTAGGTTGGGATGGGTGTAAGATTTGATGATGGATTGAATAGGGGGATGGGTAGGGGAATGATGTTTTGGTATTTATTGGGGGTTTTGGTTATGGGAGGAGGGGATTATGGGGTTGGGTGGGTGGGTGGTGTTAGGGTTATTTTGGGGAAGGTTTATGGGGGGTGGTTTGAGATATTTGGTTGGTTAGTGTGGGGGGGATGGGGATATTTTTTATTTGTGTGTATGGGGTAGAGGGGGTTGGATGTAAGTTGGGGGGGGATTGGGGGTTGATGTTTGATTGAGGGGTGGGGGGGGTTGGTTAGTGTATGATGGGGGTTTGGGGATGGATAGGGGGTTTTTAAGGTGAGTTTGGTTTTATTTGGGTTCTTGACAATTTGCATATTTCATATCTAGTCTGTATTGTGTATACTTCATTAAATCTACAAAACCATCTTTGTCTGAAAGTGATATTTGTACTTTTAACTCCAGAAATTGGGTCACTGATTTGTAAAAGAATTCACTACCTTCAGATTCTATTGAAGAGAATTGGACTAATTAGCTAATTAAATAATGAAAGGACTCATGAGATTACTTAATCAATAAATGAGCCAATTAATTGATATTGTGACGTCATATGCACGTTATCAGTTGGGGGTTATTCCCTGGTGCCCCTAAATAAAGCTATTATCAATTATTGTATTTATTACATGGTTGTTTTTATCCAATTCTCCGATATCAGGTACATAACTTAAGTTATGTGTGATATCGACATTTTCTTACCCTACACGTATAAGTCTACCAGACGCACTTCTTTTTCTGTCCGAGCTTGTCCGAGTTTGTCTGAGTGGTGATGCTAACCGTAAACTGCCACAAAGCCGCTCCGTACTCACCCACTTCGGACATCTCTGGAACGCTGGCGAAGAAGACGTCTTTGGCGAATCGCGGCTCGTTGTCGTTGATGTCGTGGATCTTGATGTTGAACTCCGTGTCCGGCTCCAGTTCTGCCAGCGTGGTGCGGTCCAGGACTTTGGCGTGGAGGATGTACATGGCCTTCTCCTCGCGGTCCAGCCGTTTGGTGGCGTGGATGTCTCCGGACTTCTCGTCGATCAGGAACAGAGACCCCGCCCCCTCGCCGGTCAAAACGTACTTCACGTTTCCGTCGTCTTTGTCCATGTTTGAGTGAAGCTGGAAGAAGAAGGAAGACACGAAACCATTATTAAAGTAGAAATATACAAGATTATCATGTAAAGTCATCATTAAAGGGCCCTGATCTGTCATCATTAAAGGCTGGCCCTTTAATGATGACAGATTAGGGCCTGTCATCAATAAAGGGCCCTAATCTGTCATTATTAAAGGGCGCCAATCTGTCATCATTAAAGGGCCCTAATCTGTCATCATTAAAGGGCCCTAATCTGTCATCATTAAAGGGCCCTAATATGTCATCGTTAAAGGGCCATAATCTGTCATCATTAAAGGGCCTAATCTGTCATCATTAAAGGGCCCTAATCTGTCATCAATAAAGGGCCCTAATATGTCATAATTAAAGGGCCATAATCTGTCATAATAACAATACTTCTTTAACTGATAACAGTAGTTCAGAGATATTTGAATTTCTAAATTACTTTTCCAGTCCCTAAATCTTGTTATTGTTTTCATTTTGATGTCCCGCCCTCCACCGTTTCACCAATCAGAAAATCTGTGATCCGGGCGCCAGAACTCACCGCGTGGAGCTAATCTCACTGGTAAAGAACCATGTGGCGCAGAACTAAAAAAGGTCTCGTTATGATTCTCAAATCATTAACGACAAAACAAGGAATAAAACCAGGATTTCTATCTTTGTGAAAAAGGTGTTGGTTATAGATTTGTTGTTGACAAAACTCTTGTCTATTCAGCTGTTATGGTCCCAGCTGGATTCGTCTGCATATCTGGCAACCTGAGTCAGGGAGAGTGGGAGCGGCTGCAGTACCACTGTTGGCCACATGTTTACACACTGTGTAAACATGTGTAAACATGTTTACACATGTTTACACACTGTGTAAACATGTGTAAACATGTTTACACACTGCTGCTTTAACATCACAAAGAGACATTAGGGACTGGATTTGAGTTAGAATATGTTAAAACTGGGTCCCACAAAAGATGTATGTGATAAAATAAATCAGAACTCATTCCTCTTTCTCAAAACTCCACCACAAACGTCGAGAGGGTCCAACTTGTCGACTTAAAGCTCAAGCACCTGACTTTCAATCCACTCAAAATTTCATCCACTAAACTATTTCATGAAGTCCATTCAGTTCCTCGCTCTCAGAACAGTTTTAAGTTTTGAATCCATGTCTTTTTGGCATCTGTCACGTGTTTAGATCCGTTTTTTTCAGACAGAATTGTGGAAATCCATTCAGCTCTCAGCCCAAAGTGTCCAATAGTGACTTACTCATTTTTTGTGCAAGTACGCAAAAAATAATCGGTTTGTTTTCATGAGATGGTGGCTGAGTGGGTGGAAGATCCAGGGTTTGAATCCCGGTCAGAACAGGGTCTTTCTGAATGGAGTTTGCATATTCTCCCCATGTCTGTTTCGGTTTCCTCCAGGTTTCCAGCTCTGGTCCTGACCAGCATCTGGGGATAGTTTTCCTGACGCTGTGATCAGGTTTTTACTTTTGTGTCTGAAAAAAGCAAATTGAAACAACCAAAAATACATGCGTGTAAAAAACCGAGAGTCATCGATCAATTTCAACCATTTTTATTCATAGAGCTCTTTCCAAAACTCAAAGCGACCAAAGTGCTTTACAATAAAATCACAAAAATCCACTAAACCATTCACCCAATCAAACAATAAAACTGTTAAAGAGCATTAAACAAGTGCTAATGATTTAAAAGTGTTAAAAGTCAGTCTGAATGAATACATTTTGAGCCTAATTTAAGAGTTGACACTTTTTTCGGTTAGAAAATTAGGTACCCCGGCTTTATACGTGCTTTAGAGTTGTGTAAGGAGCCAAAATCCTTTATTTTGGCTCCTTACACAGGTGGCTGAGTGGTTAGCACTCTCGCTTCTCAGCAAGAAGGTCCTGGGTTCGAATCCCGGTCGGAACAGGGCCTTTCTGAGTGGAGTTTGCATGTTCTCCCCGTGTCCGCGTAGGTTTCCTCCGGGTGTTCCGGTTTCCCCATTACTAAAAACATGCACAATAAGGCTGAATGTAAATGAGAGAGTGAATGGATGGTGTTGGAGCTGATGGTCCAGTGTGTTCTGGACTCGCTTCTGTCATCACCGTGTGTGGAAGGATTGGAACAATATCTGACTCTGAACATTGGAAAGTGCTTTGGGTCTGTAAAATGCGCTATATAAATAAACATTACTTACTTACTTACTTTATTTCCACCCGAATCTCTCCCCATAGAAACTCCCATATCCCCAACACGACACTAATCTCATCTGAAAGTGAAAGTAGCAAAACTTTTTTTTCATATGTTTTTGCGTGTGTGACTGAGAATACAAACATGTAAATATCGTTAAGTTTTTTCTCACACATTTAGACCAATCGAGCCTCTCTCTCACTAACATCCGCAGAGCTCGGGAACAGAGAGGTGTAATTCTTCCACGGGTTGCGTCACCGCTGCCTGTTTATTTTTATTGGGACGCAGAACTTGGCGCGCTGCCGTCTGTCTGGAATATTCTCTCATAACGCAGCCGCCAAACAAGGCCTCGTCATCAATTATGTACAGCATCGATTTCAAGCCGTTGCCTCAAAGACCTGGAGTGTCCTTGTAACCTGCGAAGAGGAACGAGGGGAACGCCGCCGTAATTGGAATAATTAACACAAAATGGGGCCAGAGCTTTCGGCTGATCTATGTTAGTGTGTTTTTATGGCTGTGTTTGGGAGTTTACACACCGGGCAGAGGTTCACTGATTGTTAGTGGTTTGGTGAGGCCATTTCTGTTCAAATATAAAGTTTTTTCTATTTGCAAAACGGTAATGACACACATGACAATAATAATAATACTAATATTAGCATAGGTTTTTTACAGCACTTTTCAGGACACTCATTATTCTTTCACTCCAAACACAGTGGTGATAAAATACAGCAGGAGCCACAGCTGCCCTGGGGCACACTGACAGAAGCGAGGCAACCAGTCTGTGTCACCTCCCACCATCATCAACAATTCACACACACAACAGACTCATTTGAATGTGGGGGAAGTGTCTTGCCTAAGGACACAGCAACAGTTTGGCACTTTACAGCCACCCCACTGTGGCACCTGCTGTTCCCAGAGGTCTCCCATCACAGTACTGACCAGGCACTGCCCTGCTTAGCTTCAGAGGTCTGACAGGATCTGGCTTTCACCTGCAGTCTTCTGGCCTTGAGTAAGTGAGTTGTTTCCATCACCCAGTTCTCAGTAGCAGGTGATTGATGTGCATGTTCTGGTCTGCACAGGGACTGGCCTCCTGCTGGGACTCTGAGGAGCACAGGGACTGGCCTCCTGCTGGGACTCTGAGGAGCACAGGGACTGGCCTCCTGCTGGGACTCTGAGGAGCACAGGGACTGGCCTCCTGCTGGGACTATGAGGAGCACAGGGACTGGCCTCCTGCTGAGACTCTGAGGAGCACAGGGACTGGCCTCCTGCTGGGACTCTGAGGAGCACAGGGACTGGCCTCCTGCTGGGACTCTGAGGAGCACAGGGACTGGCCTCCTGCTGGTCATTTTGGACAACCCTGCCTTAATAAAATACTGTGTTTTGATTGTAAAGCCTTGTGTGATTTGAGTGTTACTTTGTGTTACTTTTTGTATGATACAAACTTTACAAATAAATATTGTTGGATTGAATTAATGAACGACAGAAGCCACATTTCAAAAAGTCTCATCTCTCAGAGTGACATTTCTGTGTTCACATTTGAGGACCTCGTTCCAGTCGCATCAGTCAGCTCTAGGAAGAATCAGGACCGGTTCCAAACTCGCAAATGTCACAGAAAAATAGTAAAAACAGAAGAACGTTCCAAAGCCGCCGTCCTGGAGCCGCTCCTGGAGCCGCCCCTGGAGCCGCCCCTGGAGCCGCTCCTGGAGCCGCCCCTGGAGCCGCCCCTGGAGCCGCTCCTGGAGCCGCTCCTGTGTCGACGCCGCTACATGTTCATTATGGATCTGTTTCTGTGTTTGTTTTGACACAAACGGCTAATTTTAGAAATGTAAATGTCCTGCTCCTCCCTCTGGACTTATTCATGCTCAACTCCTGCTTTCAACAAACGTCACCCACACAATCTGCACATTCATATCCACACTCTCATTTTAATGAAACTACTGCTGCTGCTGCTACTACTGCTGCTACTACTGCTGCTGCTGCTGCTGCTGCTGCTGCTGCTGCTGCTGCTGTTGCTGTAAATGTTACAAATACAAAGTTTTTCTGTCTTTTCTCAAATCACCAACATGTTTAGAACAGAATTACGATGGTCTGGATGTGTCTGTCACATAATCCTGAGAATATTTATCTTGGTCTTTTCATGTTTTTACAGTGTGTAGTAATTAAAGCTGGGGTACTGAGATTTAGTATAACCACAGAAAGTTTTACTATGACTCTTCTGTCCCCTGGAAAAAGCCATGTTCCAGCTTCTTCCCTCCGGCAGAAGATCGCGGCGATGAAGGACGTCTGGTTTTGCAAACAGCTACTTTCCACAATCTGTTACCAGTGTTTTCAGTTTGATATGATGGGACCAGTTCTCCCATGGTTGTGTGTCTTATCTTTTTGTCCTGGAATTTTTTGGTTTTATATATTTTTTGTAATAATGTTTAGGCATCGTTATCATATCAACAATTTTTGGTCGAATGATGTTTTTGATGAATTTAGTTCTCTATATTCTGTATGTTCTGCAGCTTGGGCAGAACCACCCTCTCTGCCCTCAGCTAAATCAAGATAAAGACAGCATGATGTAGTGTGTCTGTGTATGAATATGTGTGTGTGTACGTTTGTGTGTATGTGTGTGTGTATGTGTGTGTGGGTGTCTGTGTATGAATGTGTGTGTGTTTTGTGTGGCGTGGGAGTTGGAATCAGATAAACATTTAATTCACCTAACCCCTTTTCGAACCATGCATTCTTGTTGTGTGTGTACTTGTTATGTGTTGTGTGTGTACTTGTTATGTGTTGTGTGTACTTGTTATGTGTTGTGTGTACTTGTTATGTGTTGTGTGTACTTGTCCGTTATACTGATATATATGTGAACATGTGTTGGTAGGATCAACTAAATTATTTAAAACATACTGTATATAATGGAATACACACATTACATATTCCACCCAAAAGCTACACTCTGTGTGTGTGTGTTTGTGTGTGTGTGAATGAGTCTGCATGTGTGTGTGTAAGTAAGTAAGTAACTAAAGTTTTTTGTATAGCGCCTTTCACAGAACAGGATCACAAAGCGCCTCACATTTAAAACATACAGATGAAATAATACACATACAAGTCAGATGTGTGTGTGTGTGTGAGTGTGTGTGTGTGTGTGTGTGTATGTGTGTGTGTTTGTGAGTGTGTGTGTGTTTGTGTGTATGTGTGTGTGTTTGTGAGTGTGTATGTGTGCACTTGTTTTCAACTCCTGGTGGGTTCCATAACCTGAGATTCCACTCACGTCATGGGGACTGGTTTTACGTGGTGGGGCCCGAACACCGGACCCCACTGGTCCAAGCTTAATAATCAATGGGTAATGCTTTTCTAACGGTCCTTATGCAGTCTCTGTAAAAATATGGAAAGGACCCCTGGAGGTTTACTTTCCTGAAAAAAGTGTGTTATGTGTCGGAACCCTGGTGGTGGGTTGCGGGATATCAAGGAGGGGCACACTGGGGCAATTTCAGTCCAGCAGGCTGGAGCCAATCATGGAGCAGCACAACAGAGGAAATCAGGTGTCAGGCTAGAAAAAGGTGCAAGTGTGTGGTTCATTAGGCTGCAAGAAATCATGGAGGAGCACACTGAAGCGCACGCTTACAAACCACTGGTAAGTGCTGACTACAAGTCATGACTTCAAATTGTTATATAGAATGATTACAAATTATTTGTTGTTTGTGCAGCTTAGTCAAGAGTCCCTAATTGATGAAGTCGACTCAGATTCTGACGATTTAACTGTCAAGAAGAAACCTGTAAAAAAGTATGGAAAAAGAAAAATCAAAAACACTTTTCTTCAAGACTCGGAAAGTGACGAACCAAAGGCAAATAAGATTGTTATCATGCAGCTGCAAAAGAAGAAAAATGGGGGGCGAGTATACAGCAAGAGACACTTCTGCCTCTACTGTTCAATGTCCTGCCACAAAATGTCCCGTCATTTGACTAGAAAACATGGAAATGAAAGTGACGTAGCCAGAGCATTGGCTCTACCTGTGAAATCTAAAGCACGTAAACTTCAGTTTGATTTGATCAGGAATAGTGGAAACCGTGAGCACAATTTTGAGGTTTTAAAGGCCGGCATTGGAACTTTAGTCCCAGCTAAACAGCCAAATTCCCCAGTTAAATCCAGTGAGTTTTTGCACTGTATAGACTGTGGGGCATTGCTTAACACTAGGACCGCCGCGCTCTAAACATACCTTGCACCGCCCCCTGCGGTCAGTTGACCGCTATGTATTTTGCGCTGATGCAGCCTTTTGCCAAATTGATTGTTCACTAAACCAGAACTTGATGTTGCAAAGGAATCGTGATCATAATGAAACTGTGTAAATTATTTGTCTAAATATGCTAAGTAATTGTAATTCTAGCCGAAATAAAAGACTAAGACGACACATTGTGCGTGTACTGATCCATCAAAATTACGATGACTTTTCAGGCTAGATTTATTTTGTAACTTTGCAAACACCTAAAAGGTCGGTCACTATATGTTATATTTGACTCAATAACAATATGTAAATTCAAACAATATAAATTATAGTTTAGAAAAGCACGGGACCATAACGTCTTCGCGCTGCTATATGTGTCTACTTCTTACGTCATCTCCAGACTGTTTTCTTTTTAGAGGCCGAAATCACCGTGGGAAATATTATCTAGACAATAATAATATATTCGTATTGACACAAGATCATCAGCTAGGCTACCATCGTCAATGTAAAATCTTCAATTTTACACGGGACACGTTAGAAAGACAAATATATGTATATATATATTTGTATTTATTTGAGACAAGCAGTGCTCATTATGCTCAGAACAACATTATAATCATTGCCTTGCAGTGCGCGCTGTACAGAATAACACACAGTGTTATCTGGATGAAATAAGAATGATATCCTTATTGATATGATGAGGGCCGCTCCTGCCACAGTCGCTCTCCTCCTGCAGGTGTCCGCAGGTGACGAGAGGCCTCACAGCGCTCTCTCTGCACTCTGCCTTGATAGTTCATCTAATTGTTCTATTTTATTGTGATATTGTATTCTGCTGTATTGCCTTCTTGTATGTATAAATATAATAATGTAATTGATGATGAATGAAAAGGCAGAATGGAGCGACAGCGCGCACACAGACACCTGCGTATGGCTGGCATTACGCGGGTCATGTGCGTTATTGCTTCTGGACTTGTTACAACACTGCTGTCCGTGCCGTGAATGCACTATGGGTTTACGTTCAGATTTAGAATATTATAGGTGTTCTCCCCGCTGTCACTTTCCACCTCAAAGTCTGACATCTCTCACCTCCGTCAGACTGTTCTCATTCAATGTCTTGAAGCACTGTCAGGGCTTCATACCGTGTACTTGCAGCTCTATTCATTTTGTACTCCTCTCTCTCTCCCAAATAATAATAAAAAAGTCCCTTTAGAGTCTAATGAAAACATATTGATACATTTTTATAAGGCGCGAAAAACCCCCGGGAAAGGTTACTATGACAACAGTCGCCCCTGCGCCATGTATCTCCATGGGGCAGCAGAAAGGGCTGTGGTTTAGAAAAGTTAAAATACGTGTAAATCTTGTTTTCTTTACTTTTTCCAAAACCAAAACACACCAAAATATAAACAACAAGTACCTAGTAAAAGTCATAAAATTTCAACTTCTGGCGTTTTGTTTTGAATACACTAATTAGCATATTAAAGTGAGTGACGGTCAGTTGACCGCTAGGGGCGCTCCTAGTGTTAAGCGAAAGTCGCTGTGGAGGCATGTGGCCAGGTGCCGGCTTTCACAGAAAGATGCCCAGGCTAAACCAGGTAGAAGTAGGGTCCAGTCCCTCTGCTCCCTAGCCCAGCCTGTACCGGAGGGCATCAGCAAAAAGCTGTGGTCTTTAATTTCGGCAATGCATCAGGATGAGGTCACGGGTGTTGTCAAAGCAGAAAAGGGGATTCTGAGACTCGGAGAGCACCTGTACTTAAAACACGGGCATGATAAGACTAAGCATGATTACATTAGGCAGAAAATGAGAGAAGTCGGTAGGTTAATTAACAAAGCAAAAACTGCAGGGAAACTGAAAACAATTAAGGATTTCTTTATTCCTTCCAACTTTAACCATGTGATTGATGCAGTCAGGTCTGTGGCTGGATATGATGAGGAAACAAATCAATACAAGACTCCATCCTTGGCCCTCAAACTCGGCCATAGCCTCAGAAAGCTAGCAGATATTCTTGAATGTGACTCAAAAATGGAGCATTGTGTTGATGAACTATTTATTAAAAACCTCCAACGAAGCCGGCTGCTTTTTGAGAAGAGGTGGGACGTCTGTGTTTCTTCTGCTGCCCTACAGACCCTCCGGCAAGCCAAGTGGAACACTCCGGACCTGCTCCCTCTGACTGAGGACGTTAGAGCCATGCATGCACATATTGAGGTATGTCGACCTGAATATGTGCAAACCCTAATAAGTGAGCCAACGTCTAAGCATTGGTCTAAACTGGCAGTTTTGACTCTTTGTGAGGTCATTATTTTCAATCGAAGAAGGGAAGGTGAGGTTTCAAAGATGCCACTGACAGCCTTTACCTTAAGAAGTAAGACTGGGATCCATTCTGACATTGCTCTGGGACTGTCCCAACTTGAGAAAAAGCTGTGTCAGCATTTTCAACGCATTGAAATTAAAGGGAAAAGAAGTCGGAAAGTGCCGGTTCTTTTGACTCCTGAAATGATTGCTTCGATGGAGGTGCTGGTGGAGAACAGAAGGGCCTGTTCCATCTCTGACCATAACCCATACTTCTTTTCCCGCCCGGGCGCAGACACCCACATCA